CCACCCCCCACCTGCCCCAGCGCCAGCGACCCCCCCGCATCCCGTGTCGTCCGCGACGCCACCCTCGCTGTCACGCCGCCCTCCGCCGCCGCCCGCTGTTCCACGAACCCGTAGTCCGACTTGTAGAATGCCGTACGACGGACTCCGTCAAAGTACAGGCTTGTCGTACCGGTTTCGTACTCCCAGGTGACAGCGATGTGGTGCCACTGGTCGTCCGTCCTGAGTGGGGGGGTGGGGGGTGGGGATGGGGTAAAGGAGGTGTAAAGGTTAAAAGAGTACGACGGAAATGACGCAAGGGCCTGTAAGTTCAGGTGTTTCGGAGGTGAATGTGCAGGTTAGGAGCCAGTGCGGCAGCCCCCCTGCTCCCCGCCACCCCCCTCCCCCGCCTCACCACTGCGCATCGAATATGACCACCGCCTCCCGCCCCGGGTCGTCCGTGTGTTCGTTGCTGTTGATGTGTACGGCGACCGCCCCCGCCGTACCGCCGACCCAGCTGGATCCGCCGTACTTGCTGCGGCGGGTGAGGGAGGAGGCGAGCAGTCGCTCGATGCGTACTGCGTCGTCCATGAAGCCGGGGACCGACCAGCCGCCTTGGGGGGGGGGGAGGATGGAGGATGGGGAGGAGGAGGATTGAGCGTTAGATAGTTGGTAGGCGAGAGTACGACACGTAGGGTGAGGAGAAGGAGGACACGACCAGATAAGCCACACCCTTGCACCCCCTGCACCCTCACCCCCTCACCCTCACCCTCCATCTTCTGCGCCGCGTAGCTGAACAGCTGAGTGGACTTCTGCTGCAGGTTATCCAGGGACTGATGGGGGGAGGGGGGAAAATTATGTAAGTGAAACAACGAACGGGGGGGAGGAGGGGGGAAGAGAAGTGAGGCAGCAGGAGGCAGGGGTAGGGAGGGTACGGAAGAAGAGGTAGGAGCCAGGCACCTGCAGCGGCAGTCTTGGCGGGCTTCCGCTTCAAGAGAGCTCGCTATCGCCCTGTATCGGACCCTGATCGGTCCCTCATCATTTAACGCATGGCATTGTTTCCCTCCCCCACCTCTCTCCCTCGCCCCGCCACCTCTCACCTCCAACTTGGCCCCCTTGGCCCACATCTCCACGCTGAAGCTCTTGACCGGGAAGCCCGCCAGCCGCTTGTTGAGCGCCATGCCGTTGCGGAACTCCAGGGAACCCGTGCGGAGCGACCCACGGGACTCGGGCTGGGGCGGGAGGGGAGATGGGGCAGGAAGAGGGGGCGAAAAAATAACAACGCGAGGAGGAGGAGAAAGGGACCAAGGAGGGGGCGAAGGAGCGCGGTTACTGTGATAGCAGGGGAGTGAGATTCTTCTTTTTCTGCCTCCCCTTCCCCCTTCCCCCTTCCTTCCTCAACATCGTTACCCCCCCCCCTCCCCCTCACCAGCGGTATCTCCACACTCCTCGGCAGCGGCGGTGTCTCCAGCGCCAGGTCGTTGCCCCGCCCGCTGGAGTCCCTTGCAAGGGTGTGGTGCGAGAAGATGCCCGGGTCCTCCCCCGGCTCGTCGAACTTCCACCATGCCACCAGGTCGGGCAGGCCGGCCAGCCCGGTGTACCCTGGGGGCAGCAGGGGGGGAGGGGGGGGGGAGGGGGGGAGGGAGGGAGGGGAGGGGGGGGGGGAGGGAGGGGGGGAGGGGGGGGGGGAGGGGGGGAGGGAGGGAGGGGGGGAGGGAGGGGGGGAGGGAGGGAGGGAGGGAGGGAGGGAGGGGGGGAAATTATATAAGTGAAACAACGAATCCCAATCCCATATCCCGAGGGAGGGGGAGGGAGCGGAGGGAGGGTAGCGCAGGGGGAGTTACAGCGTGTGATGTTACACGACAACAAGAGAGGGCTAAGGACGTGATGCGCAGGGGGACAAGCATGGGTAGGCAAGCAGCAGGCGGCAGGGTGGACCCCCTCCTCCCCCCTGCGCCACCCCGGCACCTCCACTCTGGGGCCCGCTCCTCACCCCCCCTGCCCTAACCTGTGGTTCCGGAACATCTTTTACCCTCCCCCCCCCGCTCCTACTCTCAACCTCACATCTCATGCGGCTCGCGATCTCCTGCTGACTCAGCGTGCGCCTCCACACCCGCACCTCGTCCATCAACCCGTGGAAGCCCTGGCTGGGGTCTACACAGCCGCCGAAGCAGTCCTGGGGAGAAGAAGAAGGGATGGGGGAGGGCGATTGGGGCGGATTGGAGGAGAAGAGGGGAAGAAGGGGATGTGGGTTTTGCCGTACAACCCTTCCGCTGCACACCCCAGCCTTCCTGGTGTCCCACGGTGTCTGTCTGGCGCCCGCACCGACCCAGATCGACCCAGATCGTCAACCCACATCGAACCATCGCAGCGACCCACGGGTCAGCTCCCCGCCCCCTCACCTGCTCCCCACCCAGCATGAATGCGCCGCCGGGCTCCAGCGGGGCCGTCTTGCCCGTGCGGGCGGAGGCCACTGGGGGGGTTGGGGTTAGGGCAGGGGGCATGCTAGAGAGGACGGCGGGGGGAAGCACTGTGAGGGGTGTGTGGCGGATTGCACGCGACGGAAGGCACGCCAAGCAAAACACACACTACCCATACACGCATCCTGACGCCCGCCCAGGCCCCCCTCCTTCCCCCAACCACCCACTCAGCGATCCGTCCACGTATATGTTGGTGAGGCCCCCCTGTGCCGCACTCCAGGTGACCGCCAGGTGGTGCCAGCGGCCGTCGCGCTCCACGATACCCGGGAGCTGTTGTTGGGGGGGGGGCGGGGGAAAAGGGAGGTGGGCGGGTGGGGTTAAACGAACCATGGGGGGTTGGGGAGGGGGGGACGGGTGAGAAGGGTAGTGGAGGGCGTGAGCACTGCCAAGCCCTGATGTGAGCCCCGCGGGTCAAGAGCGAGGGGCTGCAGGATGTGGATGAAGCCAGGGCCACTGGTCCCCATGTAAGCCATCCTGTCGTGGATGTGAGCAGCAACCCCCACTAGCCATGCAAGTCACGTCACAGCAGCCACATCAGGCGGCACGCATCCTCCGCAGCCACCTCGCACCTTGCGGCTGCCCCCCGCGGACTTTGCATACGCCGCATGGCAGGACATGTTGGCGGGGTCGGGCAGCAGGTCTATGAACTGGAAGTCGTGACACGCCAGCAGCGCCCGAGTGTCGAAGATGACAAAGTGGTTGAAGTCGGCGATGCGCTGCGCCTCGTCAGCAGCCCGACTGTCTTTGGCGTACGACATGACGGTGCCTTTCCGGGGGGGATGGGGAGGGGGAGGGGGAGTGTGTTGGGGTAGGGAAAGGGGTGCGTGGAGGGAGGAGACAAGAGGTGGGGAATAAAGGGAAAGAGATGGGGCAGGGAGGCGGCAGGAAGGGGCGGTGGTAAGTGTTCGGGTGAGGGGCGGGGTCTGGGTTGCGGTGGGTGTGCTCAGTGGTAGTACTACCGATTCACATCAATGCAGCAGCACAAAGCAGTGGTGCCGTTTGTGCGCCGCAGCCCCCCTCCCTCCCTCCCTCCCCCCCTACCCAAGCCCCCTTACCTGCATGGCAAAAGTCGCTGGTGCTGATCCAGGCCTCGAACGTCATCTCAGTGGTGGGGAAGTCCTGGGGGGCGGGGAGGAGGGGAGAGGGGGGGGGGAGCGGGGTGAGCGAAGAGAGGAGCGGGGAGGGGAGTGGGGAGGGGAACGAGGGGGGAGCGGGGAGGGGGGCAAAGAGAAGGAGCGGGAGCAGGGGAGCGTCGGCAGGTTTAGCGGGTTGAGAGGCGGTTCAAAGCCTAAAGAGCCAGCATATGGGGTCCATGCTTACGTCCAAACATTCCCTTTGATTCGTGGAACTCTTGACTACCGGCACCCAAAACACACACGTTTCCCCCATGCTTACCCCTCCCCACTCTCCCTTTCCCCATCCTACCCGGAAGTCCGTTTTGAGCACCACATGGTCTTGGAACAGCAGCGCGTGACCCGCGGGTCCGGGGGAGGAAACCATGCCTGCAGGAGGAGGAGGGTGGGAGGGACAGGAAGGGGGCGGGAGGGAGGTCAGCATGGGCTAGAGCAAGGATGCGGGGAGAGGAACGGCGATGTGGGTTAATGTAGATCGGAATGGGGATGCGGATATGGGTTGATGTTGGTTGGAAGCATGGGCGCGCACGGTAAGGAGGATGCAAGGTGTCGCCCGGCTGCCTGCAAGACGCCTCCTCGCCTCGTAAACGCCGCACTCCGCAACAAACATGACGTATCCCTTTGTCTGAGGCTTACTGGGCATCTGCAACATAGGACATTTGTGCACCCCGCGAGCCCCGGGCAGGTACCAGTGCCTCAGCTTCCATGGTGAAAGCGTTCATTTTATCCCAAACCTATTTATTTAGATAAGAAGTCCCACTACCGGTGAATAACAGTTAGGCCGCCGCATCCTTTCAACTCAACGGGAACTTTGCCGATTAAAACTTGTTTTCTATCTTTGCCTTGTTTCTCAAAGCTGCAAACGTTCGCTCCGATGCTGCCAAACCGCTGTAGCTGCGGCAGTCCCGAAGATTGACCCATGGGTCAGCAAGCGCGAAAGAGAGAAACCAAAGCCACGTTGCGAAGGGCCAGCACAAAGGGTTCACCCAAGCCAAAGCACTTGAAATCCGTCCCAGGCTTACCAGGGACGGCTGCTGCTTGAAGGGCGGGCTGAAGCAGCAGTGGAAGCAGTAAAAGGGTCGAGGTTGAGGAGACGCGCAGGCCGCCCCTTGGCCGGCCACGTCTTCGGCCGCAAGGCCGGGAAAGAAACATCTTCTCAAGCTGTAACGTTGGTTCACGTTTATCGTTAGAGAGAACGCAGAAGGATATAGACGTTGCTGTCCCTGGCTATCGTTGCGTGGTGCCCGATTGACAGGCCCTAGAAGGTGAAGCAGACAGCCGTATCCATCCAACGCACAATTAAGCTCCTACCTTCCTACCTTATGCAAAGAAACATATGAAGTTAAGCTGTAAGCCTTTTATAGCTATCAGGCCGCTAAGGTGGTTGTGTGAGAGCCAGCTGGGATGCACGGCCGTTTTCGTTTGCTTTCCTGTCAGATTGAGTCTTGGACGATGTTCGCGCGGTGCGGCACAGGAACGGTATCAATTTCCACAGCACAGCTTTCGTAGACTAACAACGTATTGTACACATTATAGACGCAACGCACCAGCTGGGCAAAAGCAGGACGCCCTACAATCCAGCCGGCGCCCGCAAGCGGATTGACGACCACGGCGTGCAACGCTCTAACAAACAATCCCTCTCCCTCGCCCTTTCATCATCCTCTCCAATATTGTTTACCGCATCACCGTTCCTTCGCAATTTTATCGTGTCAAACTAACCCAAATTGCAATCCTCCTCCCTTTTAGAATCTAGCCCCAAGGTGACCTGCCGCCGCTCCCTTAGCCTATCCCACTAGCACTAGTTCTGCATTTTTGCTCCAATCATTCTGGGTTTGAGTCATCATCTATGTGCTGCTTCACCATTCCTGCTCCACACCCGTTCCTCCTCCTCATCCACTCCTGCTGCACCACCCCTTAGCCTCAAGCTCTCGAGGCGCTCCTCCGCTCCTGCTCCTCATCCTTCCTCCTCCATCCCCAATTCCCCGTCCTCCCGTGTTTCATCACGAGTTGAGGGCCACCTCCAGCTGCTCCTTCAGCTGGCCCGACTGGTAGGCCTCTGGGGGCGGCGAGGGGCGGGGGAGGGCGGGATGGGACGGGAGGGTAAACAAGGGAGGGAGGGAAAGAGGGGAGACATTAGTTTAGCAACACGGGGAAGAGACGAGTGGATGGTCATCGGAAGTCGATTCATCAGATGACCTTGAAGTGACCCAAAGCATGGTGAAGCATGGTGAAGCATGGTGACCCATTATGTAAGACGTACGTACATGAGGTGCGATCTGGATGCGCAGTGCCTCATCATGCATGCCTCAACCCACGCCCCGCCCTGCTGCACTGCACCTCACACCCTTCCCGGACCCAGCCACTCCCCACCTCACGGCACAACCGCAGCACTGCCCCTGCACCAGCCACTCGGCCCCGCATATTCCCCTCGGGCTCCCCCCTATACACACCCTCGGGCCCCCACCACCACCCCCTCACCGATCATGATGTCGCAGCCGCCGAAGAACTCCCCGTTGATGTACACCTGGGGGTGTGCCGTACGACAGTGTTGGGTGAGAAACGCAGCGCTGCCGTACAGTTTGGGCAAACGCACGGCGGCAAGGGGTGAGTCATGCAATCAGGTGCCGTAGTACGACGCACGAGGGTGGCGACCCAAGGGTCAGGGAACAACATGCGCGCCTACATTAACCGGGTCAGTGTCAGTGCGTTGCGGCTTAATCGATTTACCCACTCTTCCTTCCCTCCCTCCCTCAGCTTTGCTGCCAGTTTACTTAACACACACACCTGCGGAAAGGTCGGCCACTGGCTGTACTCCTTCATGCCGCTGCGCAGCCGCTCATCCTCAAGGATGTTGACCGTCTCGTACGGCACCCCCAGCGTGTTGAGGATCTGCACGGTACAATATGCACGGCGTGTTGTACGGCACATGAAATTTTGGTGCATAGGATGTGGGAGGATTGGCTTAGGGGCAGTGTGGGACGCGGTGAGGAAGCCATGGATGCCAAGATGGCATTGGTCCATTGGGACCACGCACCTGCACGACGGTGTTGCTGAAGCCACATTGCGGGAACTGACGTGTTCCCTTCATGAAGACCTGTGGGACAGTGGGGCACGCATTTTCAGGAAGGGAGCCATGTAAGCAATGCTTTCGCGCGTGGCTTAGAAACCAATAACAAATAAGGTAGGCGAAGAACATGCCTGAGCCAACATACCACTATTTTGTTAGCAGAAATAAACTCATCGATACTCCGCTTGAGCTCAGGGCTCATTCCAGACGCCGCGGAGACTCGGATTGCCCTTCGCGAGATAGGCGCTCCGCTCCTATTTGGAGCTGCGATCACTCCATTGAATCGCGGTGAATAAGAGGTAGAACAGGTACGAATTCTTGGGAGTGGGAGCGCGGCGCCAGTGGCCTGGCGTGCAACGCAGCTTGGCTGACGCAGGGAAATTGAAGACATCTTGCTGCAGACCGGTATAGTTTTTGAGATTTCTTGTATTTACTTTCTTACAGCGGCATTGATTTGCCTGATCTCTAGTGCACCGTTGACGTTGGCAGTTTCCACATTACTGTACTAATCCTACCACGTTGCTGCTGGGGTTTTCCCCTAAGGAGTTAGTTTCATCATAAACATGTTACCTATTGACTATACATAACAATTGGAAGCATACACTGCTTGGTCTCTCGGCAAGTCCGCATGCATTGCACCCTGACATCCAGCACCGCAGGATAGCATCTCCACGCTTATCCGCGACCTTCAGTACTGTAGCAACGTGTAATAGAGGAATTCGCTCGACTGTGCAATGAAGTTTACAAGTGCCGGTAAGTCGGAGCATGCAGCTCCCGCAGCTGCATGATCGCTCTTTAAAGATTCCTTCCGTGTCATGCTGAGCTCGCCAGACCCGACCCCAACTCCTCAACCCAGGCCCAACAACCCCGAGACCCTCGGACGCGTCACACCCCTAGTTGCAGTTTCTAAACACCATTAGCAATTTGTTTACTACTGCCCCATGTATGTATTCGTACATGAAAGAGCATTCACTCGAGAGATGATCCAGACACGCGTATGTTTACCGTCCGCTGCGTGCACACCTGCCTTCACCTCACACCACCAGAGTTTAACTGCCAAATTTATTCAACAGCAGAACAAAACGCTATGGTTGAAAGTTAAACGTTTGCGCGGGGGAGGACTTGAGAGGTCTGTGTCCCTGTGTGTAACCACTTTCCTTGTGTATATGTAACCCGCAGGCCCCTTCTTTCCCACCCGCAACCCCACCCCACAACCACTGCCATCATAGCGCCTGCCAAGTCGGCACCCTCACCATCCCAACACTCGCCCAACACTCGCCCAGGTACCGTACCAGCTGCACACTTAAAGCAGGCCACCCGGCACGGCTCAACTCCCAATCGCCCTGTGTGTTTCCCCCACCGAGTAGTGCGCACATTCCAACGCCACCTCCTCCTCCACTATCCGCCCTCTCACAGCCCCCTCACAGCCGCTGCCCCGCCAGCTGCTCACACAGCGCAGTCAGCAGCGCAGCGCCCGTGCGGCCCCAAGCCTCCAACGCCCCCGCCAGCGCCGCCACCGACTCCGCGCTCGCCCCTGTCGCCAAACCGCCTGCACCAACACCACCGCGTGCACCACCACCACCGCCGCCCAGTGTTCCCCGCCCCACGTCCCCCGCAGCAGCAACAGCAGCAGCAGCAGCAGCAGGGCGAGGCGGCGCCTGCAGCAACGCAACCGCGCGCCTCAGCGGCTCCTTGTTGCCCAACAGCACGCAGAGCGACCCAGGGGTCAGTCGGACCGCTGCCGGCTGCACTGGCACCTCCTGCTCCTCCTCCTGCTCATCTTCCTCCTCCTCACCACCACCAGCTTCAGCCTCCTCCTCACCGCCTTCCTCAACCTCTGCACCCTCCCTCGCACCAACCGCACCATCCACACCACTTCCCTCAACAACCTGAGCCCCAGCAACCACCTCATCAGCACCCTCAGCAGCAGGTGGTGGCGGCAGTGGCGGCAGCGGCAAGCTCCACCCCGTGCACAGCCAGGCCCACGCGGCCCAGGGCTGCGAGGCCACCAGGTGAGCAGCCAGGGCGCCTCCGTCGGGCAGCAGCGCAGCCAGGTGCAGCGGGGTCAGCCCGCCGGGGCCTGTGCAGCGGCGGCACAAGGGTGCAGAAGGGTGCAGAAGGTGGGTGGATTAGATAAACTGAGCCGCGGAAACACTGACCCTGACCGAGAAGGTGGGTGGGTGCAGCAGCGGGAGACGGCGGCCGAAGGTGGGTGCGACAAAAGTACAGGGCGGCAGGGGAGGGGAGGCGCCACCACCACCCCAACCCCAACCACCCCAACCACCATTCGCCCCTCACCTTGCGGCAGGTCCAGTCTCAGGGGCCTGCCCGCCACCCGCTCCGCAAAGGCCGCCAGGCAGCCCACGCTAGCCGCACCGCCCTCGCCGCCCGCCAGCACCGCCAGCGGCAGCAGCGCCTGCGGGTCCACTCCCGCCCCCACCAGCAGCGCTCCCAGCACGGCACCCCCGCCGGTGCTGCTGAGGGTGCTGATGGAGGTGCTGCTGGTGTGAGGGTGAGGTGCAGCGGTGGTGGTGGTGGTGGTTGGGGCTGAGGTGGATGTGTAGCGGGAGGAGGCAGTGGTGGTGGTGCTGGAGGTGGAGGATGGGTCCAGGGATTGCGCCAGGCCTAGGGCCACTGCCAGCAGGAGCGAAGTGAGGTTTGGAAGGCCCCTGGAAACATGAGGGAAGAGTGAGGGAGGGGGTGAGAGAAAAGGGGTGAGGGAGCAAGCGGGAAACGAAAGGATACGGAGCGGAAACAGAAGCCGTGTGAATAGGGTTACTGGTGTTTCCTACAGTACTACGGCTATTGCCTTCCATGCACTCCTGTTGTGTTTCACCTCCCACTTCCCCGCCCTGCGCACCTCGACACCACGTAACGCAGCAGCCGACCCGTACGGCCCAGTGCGGCATGCAACGTTGCGGCGGGGGGCGGCGGGGGCGCATTCGGCACAGCGGCAGCAGCGGGCCGAACGCCGGCGCCCACACCCGCAGCGGCAGCCGCCGCCGCACCAGCAGCAGCACCACCAGCAGCAGGCGCCGCGGCTGCAGCTGTGGCGGCCGGATGGTGGCGGACTGGGGCCCCGGGGCCTGGAAGAATGGAAAACAAGAAATGTGTCACAGGACAGGTTTATTAGGCGAAGATCTTGCCATGCAAGGCGGAGTGCGGTAGTAATACGCGAGGCAAGCCGTGTAAGGCAGGGCAGGCGACTCCATGCACATGCGTGTATGCGTCAGTCAGTTTCATGTAGTATAGCAGCGTCATGTTCATGTTTCGTCCCTCCCTGTACAAACCTAACAAGCCTCATCCGACTTCACCGACCCATGGGTCTCACCAGGCATCGCCGAGCCGTTAGTGGTGGCCAGCGACGACGCGAGCGTTGACCCAACCGCCGTCGAGCTGTTCAAAGTGTCAGTGGCGCTGCCAGTGTACGACCAACCGGCGGCGCTCGCAGGTGTCGTACTACTGTCGGATCGCGACCCACGGGACGATCCGCCGCCGCTGCCGCTGCCAGGTGAGGAGCTGCGTTGCTGCTGTGGTTGCTGTTGTTGGGGCGGCGGTGAGGCAGCGAGGGGGCTGTCGCCGGCGGTTTGCAGCACGGTGGTGGCGGAGGGGTGGACGGTGTGCATGGAGGAGGCACAGGCCGCCGCTGCCGCAGCGGCGGCAGAGGCAGCAGCTGCCTTGGCGTCGGCAAGGGTCTCCAACACGAAAGCCAGGTCGGTGAGAAGCCTGCGAATTGGGGGGGGTCAGTGCAACACGTGTCATAACCAAACGTACGCATGCCACAATACAAGCTGACACTTGCAATACGCCCCAAGCACGCATGCACAGAGCTCAGCTGTAAGCCACAGCCCACCTGCGGAATCCCCGCCGCGCCGCCTCCGCCGCCTCTTCTTGCTCCTCCGCCTGCCGCTGCACCCGCCGCAGCTCCTCCGCCGCCCCCTCCTGACCCCGCGGCAGCACCAGCACCGGCCAGCCATCCCCCAGCAGGTGCCCCACACCCACCTCCACCACCATCACACCCACACCACCCGCAGGGACCCCCACTTGCATGCGCAGCCTGCTGGTGCTGCCGCTGCCGCTGCTGCTGCTGCCGTCAGTGCTGCTGCTGGTGGTGGCGGGGGAGGCGGTGGGCGGCAGCAGGGTGGCGGGCAGGTCGTGTCCCCGCAGGCGTGCAAAGGCCTTGGTGCGCGGGTGGGCGAGGTGCTGTCCGCGCAGCTCCAGAGCGGCGGAGGAGCCTGAAGGGCGGGAGGGCGGGAGGGAGGGAGGTGAAGGGGGTTAAAAAAGGGAAAACTGACGAGCCGTATGACAAGGCGCGGCACCTCCCTCTCACCGCAGCCCCTCCGTCCATCCCACCTCCCACCTACCTGCGCACACCGCCGCCTGGCTGCACCCCGTCAGCTGCGGGTACTTGGCTCCCTCCAGGCCGCCCTCCTCCGCCGCCTGCTCCCAGCTGAGAACCACGGGTCGCTCGCCCACTCGGATCTGAAGCACGCTGCGCTCCACCTGCGGGAGGTGGGGTTGGGTTGGGTTGGGTTGGGTGGGCAGGGAAGGGGCGAGGTGGGGTGGGGTGAGTCGAGGTATGTTAAGTGCCCACAGTGCGGTGTAGCGTCTATAGTGGGGTGGAGTGGGGGTGTGAATGATGAGGAGGTGAGTAGCAGGAGGGCAGGAGGAAGGTGTAGTTGCTGGCTGGGATGTGGCACCTGCGCCATCACCAGACCTCCTCCCCCGCCCCTGCCGCCCCCCCCCCTCACACACCTGCTTTGCCCTAACTTGTGGTCTCCGATGATTTGGTATGGTCTTTGACCCCCCCCCTCACACACCTGCACGTAGGTGTCCCGCAGGCGCTGACCCAGGATGCGGAACACGTCAGCAGCAGCCTGGTCGGCGTCGTGCGCGGGGATGAGCTGAGAGGCAAGGTCGGCGGCGGCAGCAGCGGCCGCACGGGAGGAGGAGGAGGCGGAGGGCGCCGTGCGCAGGATATCGACAATGAGCTGCAGGCAGCCTGTGCGGCGGGGGCGGGGAAAGAAGTGTGTACCCAATGAGAATGGCAGCTAAGCCGACGAGCGGGTGCGGAGACGACGTGGAGGGTTTCCGGTACGGGCCAGGACATGGAGCAATGGTGAGGTGGGAAGGGGGAGCCATGCGCTTTCTATGCGCCAAACGTAGGAAGCAGCGGCAGGGCGAGGGTGTAATCAGGTTTCCTCTGCCCACCTCCTTATCATTTCTATCTTTCAACGCATGATGTTTCCCTCTGTTCCCTCCCCTCCTCTCTCCCTCCGTCCCCTCCCCCTCACCCGACCCTCGATTCATCGTCCACACCTCCCGGCCTCCTTCTATGTTCACCCGACTCATGGTAAGTATCACATTTTGGTAAGTGCTTTTTGATTTTTCTGCTGGACTACTTCGGGTAGGGTGGGATGGACCGGCTACCATGTTTGCACCCCATGGTGAAGCCTACATGTCATACAGCTCGTCAATTGCTTCGTCAGTGTCTCATTATATTTTTTACTCCCCCTCTCCCGCTCACCCGGCCTCAGAGTGGCCTGCAGCGCCTCCGCCCGCGCCTCCTTGAGCCAGCGGCGCAGGCTAGACCGCAAGTTGCTGGGCAGCTCATGAGGCAACACGTTCATAGCCTGCGGGAATGGGGGGGGGGTGGGCGCAGCAAGAAGGATGGTCACGGGAAGGATTGGCGGGGTCAGGAGGGGCAGCAAACCGACAGCAACGTGACCCGTGGGTCACCCGCCCGCACGGCCCCCTCCGTCAGTTTCCTCTGTTAACTCCGCCACATAAACTCACCTTGAGCGACACGCGCGCCAGCTCGCGAGGGTCCACGCCGTCCGACTCCTCCGCCACCTCAAACCCGCCCGCCAGCACACCCCACTGCTGCATGCCGCCGCCACCGCCGCCGCCAGTGCCGCTGCCGGCCGCAGGTAGCGCTTGCATGTGCGGGTACGGATGTTGCGGGTAGGGGTGCTGAGGAGGTGGAGCAGTAGGGCCCCAGGAGCTGTACGGCGCGCCGCCTCCGGATGTGTCGTACATGCCTGGCGGCATCAGCGGAGGAGCAGCATGTCCTTGAGAAGCGGCGGGGGCGGAGCCCGGCGCCGTCGCCGCCAGCGGCGGAGGCTGCGGCTGCCATGCCTGAGGCCGCACGGATGCACCGTACGGCATAGATTGTACGACTTGTTGATGGGCTTGTACGGCATGTTGTACGACAGTTGCAACGGCCCGGCAGTGTTGTTGCTGGTGTTGCTGTTGCTGTTGTAGGAAGTGTTCGGCTGGGCCCTTGGGTTCCTCCAGGTACGACAGAAGTTGATGAAACAGTTCGTCGTCCTCCTCGTCAACCGGCGCCCCAGCGGCGGCGCCCCAAACGCCGGGCGGAGGCCCTCCACCGCCGGTTGCCGCAAGCGTCTCCGGAGGAGGCCCTCGGGGCGCAAGACCCACGGGAATCGCAGTCGGCACAGATTGCAGGTCGTACGGTACAGGGTGACCGTACGGCAACCCGTCAGGATGATGTTGTGCATGGTAATGGATGTCGTACGACGGAGCCTCCGCGCCGGGTACGGCACCATGATGTACGGCAGCGGCGGCGAACTGGACTCCGCCTCCGCCGGCACCTGACGACGATGTGGCCAGCGGCAGCGGCAGCGGTGGCGGCTGAGGCTGCATCTGAGGGAGCGGTTGTTGATGTGCGGTTGGCGGCGGCGGCGGCGGAACTTGGAGCGCTCCGGAACCGCCTGGCCGTACGGCATAACCGGAGCTGACCACATTGTACGGCACGCCGTTGTGGGCAGGCAGGGATGGCTGTTGGGGGAGGGAAGAAGAAAGCGAGGGAGCGCGAGGAGGAAAGCCGGAACCAGTCGTGGCGGCGCCTCCAAGGCCTGCCTCGACCACATTGATCGGCTTCGCCACGGCGGCTTCATTGACCACGATGCCTGGATACGACTGTAGGCCTCGCCACACCTGCTGCTGCTGTACGGCACCCGGAGAAGGCTCCCTCAGTCTCGGCTGCGCTGGCGGCGGCTGCGCTGCGTCCTGCGCTCCCCCCCATGCGCCGACGGCTTGGGGTTGCAGAGACGCCGCCAGCTGAGAAGCCTCTTTCATCATAGCCACAGCGGCGTCGACGACGTGAGGCAGGGAGTTGGAGCCGCTTCGGGCTTGGGGAGGCGAACCCCCGGATCCCGCCGACGCCGTTGCCGTTGCGGAGTCAGGCGTGGCGTGTTGCATGAAGCCGCCGTCGTGCATGTTGGGCGGTAGTGACGGAGGAGCCTCCGTCTCCGCCGATCGATGGGCCATCTGCTGTTTGTACTGCGCTATAAGTGGACACAGTTCCTGCATTATGTTGCTGATGCGGGCAGCGACGTCCACGACTTGATGAGAGCTGGCTGCGGCGGAGCCGTCGCGACCGCCGCCGCCGCCAGCGTCACCGCTGCCGCTGATGCGGGCCGCCGACACGCCTTCCGTACAGGAGATGCCCGGTGACGGAGCCATCATGGCGCCGCCGCCGCTGGGCGACGGTACGGCAGCGGAGTGGCTGGCGCGGGAATTTGTAGGCAAGGCAGAGGCGTCGCTGCTCAGCGGCCTGCCGTCGGCAGCGCAACCGACGCCGTCGCTGCCGCCGGCAAGTACGGCTTGCCTGGCGGTGGCATGGGAGTGGCTTCCGGACATGTCGCTTCCGTCGGCAGCGGCGCCGCCGACGCCGCCGTTGTTGGAGGCGACGGGGGTGCTGCCGTGACTGAAGGACTCCTCGCGCTTCATCGCGGCCGCGTGGAGCGGGTAGCCAGGAGCTGCAGCGTAACTGGTGATGATGTTGCTGTGGCTGCCATTGTAGTTGGCCGCCGCCGCGCCTCCGCTTTGCATGGAGTTGTACGGCGTGGCGGAAGGCGTTGTGCCGTACTCTGCGCCGTACACGTCGCTTGCTGGGGCCATCGTCAAGCCCAAGGCTGCCGGCGGCGCCTGATGGCTCCCGTACGGCACCAGGTGACTCGGAAACGCTTCCAGGGCGCGCTGCACATCTAGTGGCGGCGGCGGTAGCGGGCGGTAGTGCTGCTGTTCTTGTTGTTGTTGCTGCTGCTGCACAAAAGCCGCCGTCCGCTGGGACGGGTCCGGCCCAAAGCTCTCGCCTCCGTACTGCATCTGCTGCTGCTGCTGCTGCTGCGGGTGCTGCCAGCCTGCTGCACCCTGCTGCTGCTGTTCTTGGTACGGCATCATTGACATCATCACGGCTGCCGGGGGAGGAGGAGGCGGTGGCGGCGACAGCAAGGGCGTCTGGGACGGCAGCCCTCCCACCGCATCTGCAGCCGACGGCTGCATGGCGGCATGTGCCGCCGCGCCGGCAGCGACGGAGGTGCCTGTCGTACATCCTGCATGCTGACCATTGACTCCGGTTGTAACCAACCGCCGTGCCGGAGGGCAGCTGAATGCCTCGGCGTAGAAGCTCTGCTGCAGCGCCGCTCCTAGCGCCGTTGGTTGGCGCTCGAAAGGAGGTCCCGCGCCAGGTGCAGGAGGCGCTGTTGTGGGATACGGATATTCCCCTGTCACCATACCGCCCTCCTTCTGCTGCTCCTGTTGTGGTGTCATACCACCAGCAGCAGCAGCAGCGACAGCGCTGAAAGGCAGGCTGGGAAGCGCCGAGGCACTCCGCGCACCCAGCGCCCCCCAGCCGCTCACGTCCTCTCCCGCCTGCCCTCCCAGCGCAACAACAGACGTATCGGAGCTAGCAGAGGTGTTTCCCTGCCCGCCTGTGGCAGCAGCAGCAGCAGCAGGAGATGCGCGACGCCTTGCAGTGCTTCCGCCCTTGGCTCCGCCCCGACCGCCTCCAGCCGCGGTGGCACCGCCGGTGTTGCGGCTCGCGGCCCCCGCCTCGCCCCCGTCCTGCTGCAGCGGCTGCTGGTATCCTGCTCCGGTAGCAACGCGTTTGGGCAGCATCTGATCCTGCTGCATGCGTGCCATGACTTTGGCGCGGTGGCGCGCGTTGTGGCGCTCCAGGGTAGCAGAGCAGCTCCTGGGGGAGCAGGGGGGTGGGGGGTTCACGGGGGCGGGCAGGGCAGGGATTCGTGGATTGTTGGGAGTGCCGGGCAGGCTGCTTGGCTTTGCTGGGGGCCCTCTCTCGTCTTTACGTCCATTTACGTTTTGGTTCCATCCATTCACATGGTGACTGCTCTTGCTGGCCCTGTACCCCTCATAGATCTACATTTTGGTTCCATAAACAAAGTCACTTTTTGGTTCCATAAACAAACTTACTTTTTGGTTCCGGAGAACTCCCCGATGAACTGAAACTTGGCGCACTGCTGGCAGAATCGCGAGATGGTGCCGTTCACCACTATGGCCGCCGCGTGCAGGTGCTTCTCGCACACCCGCATGCGCACGTAGTAGCGCTTGAGGCCCTGCAGACTGGCGCCGCAGCCCACCACCTGCACTCGGGAAACCCGCAAGACCCAACCCAAATCAACCCAAATCAGCGTCTTGAATAATCAGGCCAGCAAAATCTGTACTACCAAGTGCGAGCCCAAGGCGTGGGCCCCTGTTGTTGCATTCATGTGAACGGATGTTAACCTCCTAAGGCCCCTACGGTGTCCGCTCCGAAACCCAGCTCAGTGCCAGCGGGTAAGGGTCCCACCTCGCACACGGTGGCTTGGTCGCCGTCGGCGCGGTCAGGGGCGTCGAGCACGGGCAGAGCATCGACGCTGATGTTGGGTGGGAGCTGCGGAATGTGGAGCGGGTCGGCAGCGCCGCCGCCCACTGGCGCTGGAGCATTCAGGAAGGAGGGGAGTGCGAGGTCGAGCCCGACTGGCTTTGCCGTAGCGTCCTCGTCCGGCCCTGCCATTGTTAGGGATGTTGTGGGCGGGAATGGATTGCTCGCGAAGATGTTGCATGGCTGCGGCGGGAACATGTATTTTGTGCAATGCGCTTCATGTGTACTGTGCGGTATCCGCGAGGTTTGGAGGAAGGAGCGCTAGTGCATCGGGTATTGGCACTCCATGCGCCGCTGGGTTACCATTACAGGTGGCGACAAGGAGGAAGTAACAAGAACGGCGAAAGAGAGCGGGACTGCTACACTTCTTGAGAATTGCTTAGGAGTATGAGACTATTGAGTTATACGACGGGAATGCAACAGTGTCTTCGCGTCGCCTCGGCTAGACGAGTGACAACACTTGCATACAGCCGGCCTGTGAGATGCCCTGGTGCTGTTGAAGTAAAGTCGCGAACTCACCTGATGCCACTACGCGCTTCTTCCTTGCAAGACACATTTTCGGGTCCCACTCATACGCATCCACACTCCACGCCTCCTCCTCAGCAGCTTCATCTTCGACTCTCCTTCGTGTACGCGCTGAAGACATTGTATTTGTCCTAACAGCTGGAATGAGCCCCTATAGAAGCATGGCTAGTAAGGATGGGTATGTGCAAGAGGAACTTCTGGTTTCGAAACTGGTTCCAAGACGTTATGCTTTCCTATATTAATATTCAGTTCAGAGCATTAACTTTGAGCTGTTCGCTAGTATCTTCTCAGGCATTCGTATACTTCGTATAGAGTCCTCGTAGCGTCACTACGCTATACAACTCGGTTTAAAGGTTAAGTATGACGCCATAAAGTATGAGTTTCTAGCAATAGTGGACGAGAAGGAATGAAGGAAAGATCAGGCTACTCGCAGAACTCGTATGTCGGTAACAAAGTGTCCATTTGTTATACGCTACACAGACCCCCTCCTAATCAGCGGCACTAGCTGCCAACTATTGTCCCTGCTTATGTACGGAGGGCTTCGTTGGCAGTTCCCAGTGTTCGCCACCGCGATGTTGCTTTGTACGCTGTGCACGTTACGAAGCGTTGACATATCAATTACGACTGGTTGGGCAATGTATTGGGCATGCCGGAGTAAGATATGTTCATAGTCCGGTCGTTCTCTGTGTCGCTGTCAGCCGTCATCCGTCGTCGGTTGGCCACAATGGTGTTCGCGAAGGATGGGACGCAGCGCCCCTGTCCTCGTGGCGTCTTTGGGAACAGTTATAGTGTGCATAGAGCTGCATGTAGAAGCTGTAACTTGAAACACGCACGCAAGCAAGGATGTGGCTACAGGGGACAGGGTCGCAAGACCGCGATATCCCCTAAAATTTGGTTGGCTAAATGTGCAACAAGTGTCGAACACGCCCTGAACCCAGCACAGGGTCCTATTCTGCGGCTAGTAAACAGGAGCAAGCAACGGGGGGGGGGAGCGGCTGGCAGGCCGGACATAGGGACAACGTGCATTCATATTGAAGTTGGGAAGCCAGATGGTTGAAGTTGAACCGTGCGGGGTGGCTGGGTACCGAGGGGGCTTCGGACGAGGAGGATGGGGTATGGCTTGCACTGCTGACCACTCCTGTGGGTTGCTAGGCTAATACAGGACATGCATGAACTCATACCGGTAACCTAAGACAGACCCCTGGAGTAGGGAAGGAAACCGTCGGTGCCCCAGCCCACGAGAATTGGCCTGTCTATGAACCCCCTAGATGTCCATTTCGTCGAAGCCTTTTCCCCTGCCCTTATATGCGCTCTGTCTGAACGACATGTCCATCTGTCCTTGCTGGTGGTTTAATTTCTAGCACCTTAAGTATCCACGCCTTGCTCTGGCAGTCCAGCTGTCGATTTGCATGCCCCAGTGTTGTAGGCTCAGCCATGCTCCACGTCGGGCGCTTCTCCTCAAGCTCCTTGCCTCGCCAGATACTCCATCAGGCTTCAGAATGCACTTCCTATTAACCCCTGCTCCCGGTTCCGGCAAGCAGAGGCTGCGATGAGACACGACGAGGCTCTCGAGGAAGCCGTAATGGCCCGATGCTGGTTTAGGATAACGTGTCTGCGTCATGCGAGTAATAAATGGCTGAATACCACCGTCCATTGGCTCATCCGCATGCCAAACGTTATTCCGCGCACCAGACGTGAACCGGTGAACGGTTGGGACTTGCACGCGTCAGTCTCTCGGCATTTGAGTTTTGAAGCCTTCAGGTATTACTGATTTAGATGCCCCAGACATAGAGCGGATACAGTTGACAGTCCCGAGGATTAGGGGCCATTCACATATGAGTGATTTTGGGAATGAGTGCGTAGGAGCGCGTAGGGGAAAATTGTTCAGATTGTAATTTTTAATTACGTTTGGCCTGGAATTATTTTTAACAACGCCTGAGTTCAAAAAATAATTCCATAGGTGAAACATGAGTGAATCATGAGTGAAGTTGAGTGAAGTGAGTGAAGAAACTCGTGAGCAGGCGCCCCCTGGCAAATAGCATCCCTATGCCAAGCGCATACTTTGGTTGCTTTCCTAGACTTCGCGACTGCATATTTTTGTTCTCGATATACTACTTTCTCATAGAAAGCTTTGCGCGGCCTCGCGCGGTGCGAGTTTGACGAACTTGCTAACGTTGGTCGCGACAAGCAACTACCGCGTGCGCATGGCTGCGGAGACCTGCGAAGAGATCATCTTGGCAGGTCTACGCAGCCGCTAGCTTCCTGCCTTGCTGCCCGTGTTCGGTCGCGGTCGCGGCATTTCGACTCTCACTGTACGCCCGACCAATGTGAACGCATATTGAGGCAAGAGTGCTCGTACCCCCTAAGGGAGTCTGAGGTCGTACAGGCCCTCCTGGCAGCGTGCTGTGCTCGCTGTGCTCAGAAGCGTGCTATGAAACATCTTAGAAAGAATGCAATTATATATGCCACATATTTCTATCTAAGTGCAGCCCATTTGGTATTCACCTCGCAATCGACCCAGCACAAGGCTTAACATAAACAGTTGTCCTTAACCTTATGCAATAACATGTAACTAAACATGAGTGATTCAGGTTTTAGTGTAGGTCTCCTAGTAGCTGAACACTCCGACAATGAAGCCGAAGCACTCCTTCGCGCTGCTCTCGGGTCAGATGGCAGCGGCGGTTATGAATCTGGGCATGGTAAAAACACCCTCGTTCTTGTCTTAAAGAGTACTTCCCAAATATGTGCTTACCTGAAATCACGATTCCGGGCCCCCCTCCCACACATGCCTCTAGCCCTACCCTTGAGCCCCCTCCAAGTGCATACCCGCTTTTTCCGTCGCGTGTAGCATCACAACCCGAACGAACCTGGGCATGGTAAAAACACCCTCGTTCTTGTCTTAAAGAGTACTTCCCAAATATGTGCTTACCTGAAATCACGATTCCGGGCCCCCCTCCCACACATGCCTCTAGCCCTACCCTTGAGCCCCCTCCAAGTGCATACCCGCTTTTTCCGTCGCGTGTAGCATCACAACCCGAACGAACCTGGGCATGGTAAAAACACCCTCGTTCTTGTCTTAAAAGAGTACTTCCCAAATATGTGCTTACCTGAAATCACGATTCCGGGCCCCCCTCCCACACATGCCTCTAGCCCTACCCTTGAGCCCCCTCCAAGTGCATACCCGCTTTTTCCGTCGCGTGTAGCATCACAACCCGAACGAACCTGGGCATGGTAAAAACACCCTCGTTCTTGTCTTAAAAGAGTACTTCCCAAATATGTGCTTACCTGAAATCACGATTCCGGGCCCCCCTCCCACACATGCCTCTAGCCCTACCCTTGAGCCCCCTCCAAGTGCATACCCGCTTTTTCCGTCGCGTGTAGCATCACAACCCGAACGAACCTGGGCATGGTAAAAACACCCTCGTTCTTGTCTTAAAAGAGTACTTCCCAAATATGTGCTTACCTGAAATCACGATTCCGGGCCCCCCTCCCACACATGCCTCTAGCCCTACCCTTGAGCCCCCTCCAAGTGCACACCGCCATCTGCTACAGCGGCGGGCGGTGCAGCACCCAGCTCTCAGCTGGCGCCAGCACCTTGTGTGCAACGTTCAAGCAGAGGGGGCAGGAGACGTGCAACGAAGCCAGGGCCACGGCAAAACCCAGGGCATCAGGCAGCAGCCGAGCAGGACTTACCAACAGGTGCATACGCTGTGCCTGCATCAGACCCAGCCCCATCCTACTCATCAGAGGCATTCATATTCAAGTCCTTCACTTCATGCGAGGATGTTTTGTCAGCAGCCATGCAGTTGGTGCCTGAAACTCAGAAACGTAAACTTAATCCGTGCCCAGTACGCGCTGTTGTCTCCATCCGTGCTGGAGTGTTCAGCAGCACTTGCCATATGTTTGTGGCACATAACGCCTGCGTGCGCTCTGTTGCGGCAGACGTATACAAGCAGTGGCATGGTACCTCAACCCCAACGTCCAACAGCTTGCAAGGCGAGGGTATGGAGCCAATAGAGACAGGGCTCTAGCCAAACAGCAGCTGAAAGCAGGCCTGTGGAGGAGGTGGTTCGAGAGGTTGCCTCTCGCCTATCAGTTGATTCGCTCAAGGCTACCATCCGCAGAGCATTCACAGCAGGCCGGAGGCCACCCACGGAACGTATGTCAGCCACGCTTGCTGCTGGACGGAGGGAGGCTGAAGCCTTGCGGTCTCTTGTCCAGTCCAAAGACCGCTACAGAGGGCCGGCGGCTTTGCGTATGCCAGCTGCGTCTCCTGCTGCACCACCGCCGATGCCTCCCCATAGCAGTGAGGTGCTGGCTTTAGCTGGTATCGTTTCGACGCCGCTCGTGACCATCCACGCAGCACTATTGGGGGCTAGCAACCTATCAGCTGACGATGTAAAGGCAGTTGTTAATGCTATGTCTGCGTGGGCAGCTTGGGTTACCCAGCGCAGCGCTGCTGCTGCAGGAGGTGAAGCCCGCTCTGATGCAGCAGCTGCGGGGCCAAGTGGTCAGGGAGCGGGCACAGCAGGGGCTAATAATGTGGCGCAAGACACAGCACAGCAGCAGGGTGTTACGGATGTAAATATGCATGAGGAGCTTGTTCCAGCTGACGCGGTACGCACGCAAGGTGTAAGTAACGAACGATGTGCCCATGCTAAATGCGTGTATAGAAGGAACGCTGCGATTGGTGTCAAGCGGAGGCGTCAAGGGGATTCTGGTGATAGGCAGGACGGGACTGACGGTGGTGTTGGGGTTCGTAATATCTATATCCCTGCAGACGCGTTAGTCCTATTACCGGCAAGAAAGGGGAAGGGAACGGGAGGATCGTTGCCTATGGATACACGTGGCAAGCACAAGAGGTCAGCACATATTGCTAGTGTGCACAGATGCACAGTTGTGAGACAGCAAGTATACAGCGCATCGCAAACAGCTTAATACTATCAATTAACTTCAGGACAACGTGGCACGAAACATACCTTGGGCGACTCAGGTCCTGTGGCTGCTGCTGCCGAAGAGCCGTCGCATCCACTGCTGCCATCGCCCTTCTTTTTCGCACAACCATCAAGACTTTAGCGCCTGTGGCACAAGCCATAACTAGCGTTATCGAATTAGAACTAAAGTAGGTCAACAAATCAAGCTTGCTACATTTTCTGTAGGTTGACGCTGCAATGCACAGAAAGTCCCTGACGCTTACATTTAAAGGGATATTGGAATTCCCAGAGTAAAAGGGTGATACCAAGAACGTGTTTTGAGTTAAAAGATAGAGAATGGAAGCGCAGCACGCTGCCAGGGAGCCCTGTACGACCTCAGACTCCCTTAGGGGGTAGGGGCGCTGTACCCATATTGAGTTTTTTCGACTCATTCACGCACCCTCACTCAAAAGGACCTCCTTCATATATGAATGGCCCCTTATGGGAATCGTCGTCGTATGCGCGTTTACTAGTTGGTCGGAAGCACCGTGGAAAAGGGCTTTCCTCGCCCCGTTCCGCAGCTTTAACATTAAGGACAGGCTTCGTTAACTGTTATACTAATTCTCTTACCGAAAGGACACTTACTACACGCGTGTGCTGCTCCTTGAAGTTTTGCTTTCTTGACCTCACCAAACACCGGACCAGACAGGAAGACGTGCTAGCTCTATTGGATGTAACAAGTTACCATGTAGTGCGAGTTATCGCTCGTAGACCGAGCAGAGAAGCTGAGGATGCACTCTTGGGCTGGCTGGCGTACAGTTCGGCGCCTTGTGGGCGTAACCTTGCTGTTGGTGTTACGGCTTGCAGCTGGAGATGAGTTTCTGTCGGGTGCGGGCCGGCAACAGCACCTGAATGTGTGACAGTCCGTGCGAGGGTGGCTTCCTAACTTGCGGGTTCCCAGCAGGCGACGACCTGGTTATTGCTCAGCAAAATTACACGCTCGCACTAAACAGCACAACGGCGCTGGAGGCTGCTCTAAGCTGTCCTGAAATTCTGGAGACGGGTGTCCTCGCACCTGCAACTCACATAATAGCACTACTCCTGGAAACCGGAGAAGGACTCGCGGTGGGTGGATACATGCAACCGTGGCACAGTATGTCTACGCTGGAGAGTCCCCGGTAGTTTGGTCGCTTAGCGACGCAACCTGTCACCCGCACGAGTATGCAGCCCTGTACTTTAGCCCGCCCTGCACCATGCCCCGCGCCGCAATTAGAGCACCCCTCAACCAAACTAACCACCTGAGGGATCCTTCCCGTCTCCGCCTCCCTCCTCGCCCTCCAGGACCTCCAATATGACCCCGCTAGCTACCAAACGTACGGCAGGAGCGTTTGGCTGATGGATCCATGGGGCGGCTGTCGTATCGCCACACTGAAGGCGTCGTACAGACAGCAGCAACAGCAGCAGCAGGTGTCGTTGCAGGTGGAGCAGGCGCCATGCGACTGGAGGCTGCAGTACATCTGCATGCCCAACCGGACGCTGGAGAAGCTAACGGATGAGGTGGGTTAAGAAACCCGGCCGCGAGTGTGTGTGGGGAACGCTGACGCTGGTGGCTTTCCGAGGAACGGTTCCCTTTTTTGGTAACCATGAAATGGGTGTGGAGGGCCGTCTCGCCGTCCCAGGCTGAGCTTGAAGCGTGAGGGGAGGAAATGCAGGACGAAAGGAGGGGCGCAACCTGCTTCCCTGCACGACCATTCACGCTTGTTTACCGGTTATCACCCCCACTCACCTCCCTCCTTCCCCGCCCCGCCTCACCGGCCCTCGTAGCAGATCACCCCCTACAACCCCTACTGGACCCCCGACGCGCCCGACCTCCCCCGTCCCATCCCTTCCCTCGGTCTGCTGCCTAACTACACCCTCCGCTCCTCCAACCTCAGCCTGGGCCTGGCATCCACATCCCTGCCTGACGGGGTCTCGGTTGCCGCCGGCAGCGATGCCTTCCTGGCCCGCGGTCCGGTGGTGAACCTAGTTGGGATGTGGGGCGGTGATGGGCTCCGGAGGCTGGGTGTGGTGCATGCGGCGGACGGGGAGCTGGTGCTGGCGGGGGCGGGGGCGGATCTGGTGGATGCCGTGCTGGCCATGAGCGGTGGAACGGATGGTGGGTCGCGCGGGTGGGGTGGGGTTGGGTGCGGGCGGCGGCTGGGGAGGAGAGAAGGAGCGGGAGGGCATGGGAGGAGCCGGATGTTTGTATGAGGGAGACGAGGGAGTTCTGGATTGGGTGCGTAGGGTTACGCCACACTCGGATGCTAGTCTATTTCTTGCCCGGCTTGTCGCGCTCTTTCACGGCCTTTTCCGGTCGTGCATGCTGTCGTTCTGACCGTTCAAACCACCATGCCGCTGCCGCTGTATTGGCGCATTCCCCTCCCTCCAACTCCCGCCTCCCCTGCAACCCCGCCTCCCTCCTCTGCTGCCTCCTGCTGCCCGAACCCCCACCAGACTCCGCCTGGGCCGCCTTCCCCCTCATCCGCGAGTACGGCAGCCCCTTCCTGCAGCGCTCGTACATCACCCGCGTGGAGGGCTGCATGGGGCTGGGGGCGGTGCAGCGGCTCATGGTCACCACCTCCATCGGGGCCACCTTTGCGCAGGGAACCGGCCGTTGCATCTCCAACTTCCTGGAGGAGGTGGGACGGGGGGGGATGTGTTGGAAGGAGTTGGGGGCTGGTTGGGTTGGTCATGCCGCCCATGCAGCCACGCGGGGAGGTTGGTGGCCACCGGCATGCGCGCTTGGCTACCACCCTACCGGCATGCAATCGTGTGCCCGGGGCCCGCATGGCCCCTACTCTTCGCCACGCCGCCAACCCTGCCACTTACCGGTAACCCCCCTCCCAGGCGCCCCTCGGCGGCTACCTCGCCGGGCTGGACATCGCCTACCAGCCCGACGGTGGCAGCAACCCGGGTCCCACCAGCACCGCCAACTTCACCACCCCCATTTTCCCCAACATCCTGCAACTCAAGCTGCTTTGGGCGCTGCCCAGCGAAGCAGGCGCCATGCGTGTCGTACCGCCACGAACCCTCCCAGTGGTTCCGGAGCCCGCTCCCACTTGCCGTACACCCCGTGTACTGCTGCCTGCCACGGAAGTGGACGACAGTACGGAATGCGGGCCGACCAGCCTGGGGCAGTACGGCTGTCCGTCGTACATGTGTTGCGGCTCCTCGCACTCCCGCATGGGTCTGTGTGATGTGAGCTCGGACGAGTGCCAGGTACGTGTTGTGGGGATGCGTGGTGGTTGTGCAAGGTGGCGTGGGAGGTGGGAGGTGCAGGCAGCTGACTCGGGTTTAGGTGACCGCATACACGCTTCATGAATGAAGAAATGCTGAAGGAACGCATGGAGACAGCGCAAGGCCATTCCCATACGGTACCCCTACCTTGACCCGCGCTCTCCCCCGGCACCCCCTTCCCTGCCCGCTCCCCTCCCCAGATGACCCAATGCGACTCCGCCTACGGCATGTGCGGCGCGGCCCTCTTCACCGACCTGGTCATCGCGGCGCACGAGGGCTTCCCGACCGCCGTTGCCGACGCGGCGGCGGTGGGCGCGGATGCCAAGAAGGGCTGGAGCTGGAGCAGGAGTGCGCGGCAGCGCTACGAGGCGGGAAACCTGGCGTTGGCGGGACTGTCGGAGCCGGTGGCGCCCTCGCCGGTGCGTAACGCCACGACGCTGTACGCATTACGGCAGAGCGCGAGGATGGGCTTCAAGAGCGCCTCGGAATACTGCAGGTGGGTGGGTGGGCATGTGTGGAGGGTAGGGGGAGAGTTGAGTGGCGTCGGAAGGAAACTCAGACTGTAGGAAATCAAGGTTGGGTAGGGCTGGGTCGGAGGTCGTCTCCCTGCCCTCACTCGCCTGCCCTTTTTCCCCACCTTCCCGCTCCTCCTCTCCGCAGCAACTTGGACACTCTGGGCCTCAGTTGGCAGATCATCGAGTTGAGCGACGCGCTGGCCTTCGAGGTGTCGCTCACCCTCAGCGGCGCATTCCTGCACTCCCTGGAAGACAGTGAGAAGGGGGGAAGGGAGGAGGAAGCAAGGGGAAAGAGAACATGCGGCTAATTGGCCGCAGCCGCTGCTGACGTTGCCGCTGCATGTTACCAGTACATAACAAGATCGCTGTTGCGATCCCGGCTGTCGTACTAACCATACCCTGCCGTACCAACCTCCTGTCGTGCCGTACCGCTGCTGCTGCAGGCATGGTGTGGGTGCGGATGCCCTCCCTGGAGCAGTCCTGGGTCGACTCCTCCGACTGCTTCAGTGCCATGTGGGGCATCGACGCGAGCCAGGCGCAGGTGGGGGGGAGCGGGAGAGAAACATGCGGGAGAGAAACCAACCCGATATACTGGAAGCCACGAAAAAGAGGGCAAGGCAGTGGGTGGTGGTGGTGGGGCTGGTGGGGGGCCAGCCATTCGCTGGTAAGCAAGCAGACAGCCTCATCCTCCCTTCCTTACCCTCGGGATTGGGACTCCAGTTGCTGCACTTCTCATCACCATGTCATCTTCATCCCCCCCTCTCCCTCGCCCCCAGCTGTCCAACGTGCAAGAGGTGGACTGCGCCAGCCCCTACCGGGTGGTCTGCAAGGCCAGCTGGCCGGGGGCCACCGACAGCGGCTGGGTGAAGGAAGGCGGCAGCCATGCAGGGCAGCGGCGCTTCACGTCAGGTGGGGGGCCGTGGGGTGAAGTGGGGATGAAGTTGAAGGAAAAATACATGTGTAACCTTGTATTCTATGTTTACCAAGGCTCCATCGTGTGTCGTGCGCCATGGTTGCGGACCCGTGGGTCGGTTGGGGTTACAACTCAACATGACCCCAACCAAGGCCCGCAGCCATCCCATATCTCCTGTCTCCAACCGCAACAACGGCCAACCGCCCCTTCTCCCCCTGTCGTACCTCCGTGCGCTGTCGTACACACAGGTTCCCATGCGATCAGCGTGTCACGTGTGCGCAGCGGAGCCTCCATGTCAGGTGCCTCGTGCGTTGCTGACTCGTTGCACGGCCTGACTCCGGATGAGGTAAGGGAAACTGAGTTGCGAGAAGTACTGATCCTGATACCCTGGTACTGACCTTGGTGGGTAGGAGGTTGACAGCGGGATTAGGACAGGTAGTGGGGGTAGCAGCATGTAGTGGGGGAGTGTGCGATACCCTTCTGCGCAGGCGACATTACCTTCCCCGCCATCGCTCCCTCCGCGCAACCACCACATCGCCTACCCGCCACCCACTGTCCGTCATGGCATCATGCCAAAAGCCATGTTAAGCCGCACGCCCTACCCACATGCGCGCTTTGCTGCCCGTCCTTTCCAACCCTCCAAACCCCACCCCCCCAGGCTGCCGACCAGCTCGCCTCCCTCCTCACCAGCACCGCCCTCAACACCAGCAACCCCTCCTCCTCCACCCCCACCGGCAGCGTCAACATTACCTCCATCCTCGCCTCCCTCGCCCTGCGCCCCCTCCTCTCCTGGTCAAACGTCCAAGACCGGCGCATCATCTCCTACGAAACCCTGGCCGCCATGGCCGTACAATACTACCAACCCAGCACCAAACGCACCCCCTCCTCCGCCTCCTCTTCCGCTTCCTCCTCCTCAACATCAACCCCCGGTAGCAGCAGCAGCAGCAGCCCGCCCAGCATCTCCGTCTCCCTCCCCAACACCCCCATCACCTACTACAGCGGAACCAAATGGCTCCCCGGCTCCCCCCACATACTGGGATCCTGGGACGGCACCTGGCTCAGCCCTAACGCCAGTGACGGCGTCGTAACGCCTGCAGCCGACGACTCCAAGCAGTACAGCATTGGATCCTACCTGTCGTACGACGCGGGCTGGCGGTCGTTTCAGCTAGACGTGTCGATTGGGGAGGTGGTGGTGGAGTTGTCGGGGTGTCATGGTGGGCTGATAGAGCAGCTGCTGGTGCACACGAGCGCGGGCAGGGTGTGGAGCACCCCCACGGGTCCGGGATTCCTGTGCAGCTCGTCCTTCAGGCTGACAGCACCCAGCGGGGGATACCTGGTGGCATTGCAGGTGGGGGGGTGGGGGGGGAGGGGTAAGGAGGGTGGGTGGATGGGTAAGGGGCGGGTGGGGGGCGGGGAGATGTGCGTGTGTTTTTAAAGCTGGCCGCGAGTCGGCTCGCCTCGTCAACACTCACATGCATTCCTTCCCGTGTCCCCCGGCCTGGCCCCCTGTGTTGACGCGCCCGGCTCCTCTACACTCCCTGCCCTGCCTGCCCTCTCCTGCCCTCTTCTGCCCCCCACGGATTGCCAGCCTCCTTGCCACCTTGGTTTTACTGGTTTTCGCCCTCCCCTCCCCGCCCCCTCCCGCCCCCCCCCCCAGGCCCTGGGCGGCAGCTACCTGGAGGACCTGGTGGCCATCTGGGGCACTCCGCTGAAGCCGCCCTCGCCTCCTCCTCCGCTCCCCTCACCCCCGCTCCCATCACCCCCGCCTCCGCCTCCACCGCCCTCGCCCTCGCCGTCCTCTCTACCGCCCCCCTCGGCGCCGCCACTGCCCTCCCCGCCTGCTCCCAACTCCTCCTCCGCCAAGATCCTGTCTGCTACCGACGGACCTGGGCAGCCGCGTGAGGCCGGCGAGTTCAAGAACGTCGCCATCGGACTCAGTGTTGCGGGCGGGGTGGCAGTGGTGGTGGCGACTGTGCTGGTGCTGTGGATGTTCAGGACGGGACGCTGGAGGGGCTTCATGCGCAGCCGTCGCGTTGGAGGAGGAGGAGGAGGAGGAGGAGGAGGGGGAGGAGGAGGGGGGGATGGGGGAAACGCGTTTGCGGCTGGGGTGCTGGGTGTGGGGTCGGAATCGGGACCGTTGGGTGGAGTTGCAGGCGGAGGAGGAGGAGAAGGAGCAGCGGCGGCGGCAGCGGCGGGTATACAGCTGTCGGATGTGGTGGTGGACTGTGGGGGCGATGCGGGGAAAGGTAAGGGCGAAGCTGGGAGGGTGGGTTGAGGGTGGGTCCCTCCCTCACGAGGGAGGGTCCAGGGCCTGGTTAGACATGGACACCACGACGCAACCTGAGGCACAGCACAGCACGGCACACATCCTGTGCCGTTGCTTCCGCTTCTATTCCAATAACCATCCTCACTATCTTCACCCCCTCACCTCCACCACCCCAGGCTCCAAGGCGGACGGCCTCAAGGGCGGCAGTCCCGCCGCCTCCAACAGCAGCAGCTCCGACTCCATCGGCGACGCCGCCACCGTCACCTCCGCCTCAACCGACAACCCGCAACACACCCACGGGGCAGGCCCGGGAGCCTCCCCAAAGCTAGTTACAGAGGCGGAGGGAGGTGGAGGGGGAGGAGAGGCTGCTGCTGCTGGTGCCACGGCAGCGACGGCGGTGAGTGCTGGTACGTACGGCAGCAGCGGGTACGGATCTGGATCTGGATCAGGATTGGGTTTGCCGGCGGCGGCGGGCGCAGGGGCGGGTACGACAGAGCTTCCGCCACGTCCGTTGTCTGACGTCCCTGACTTGGCTGTGCCGGGTATGGGCGGTGGCGGCTTTGGCACCGGTGCTGGAGGTCTCCCCTTGGGCGGCGGCAACACCGCGCCGCCTGGCAACAACAGCAGCAGCAGCAGCGCAGCAGCTGCCGAGCAGCTCATGCATGCGGCGCTCTTCCAGCGGGCGCTCTACGTGCAGCGGCCCTACCTCCCCGGCTCGCCCGACGCCGCCGCAGCAGCCTTGGCCGCAAGCCACACCTCCGGCGGCCTCTCCTCCGCAACCGCCTCCGGACTAGGCACGAGTACGGGCTCCGGAACCGCCGGCACACGGACGGGAACGTCCCTGGAGCCCCGCACTCGCACGGAGAGCGGCGGCTTGGGGACCTTGGTGGCGGGAAGCAGCCTGGCGAGTCCGCCGGTGTCGCTTGAGGGGGTGATGCTTGCGAAAAAGGGGCAACAGCATCCAAATCCGGATCCGAATCCGGATGGGAGGAGGTTGAATCCCCTCGGGAACCCCTTGCATGGGGTAGGAGGTGGTGGGGTTGGGGGTGAGGGCGGTAGGCAGGGAGACGGGGAGGGTGAGGAGGAGCCCTCCGATCCGCACGGGCAGCGCAACTCGCAGCACCTGCAACGGCACCGGCCGCACGCTGGCAGCCCGCTGGGGGGCGCGTTGACGCCGCAACAGCGGCTGCAACAGCCATTCGAGGGAGGGCAGCAGCAGCAGCAACAGCAACAGCGGCAACTGGAGGCTGGCCCACAGCAGGAGCTGGCGCCGCTAGGGTTAGCAGGGCCGGGGGCTGCGGAGGCAGCAGCCGCAGGGGCGGCGGCAGTTGCTGGTGGGGGGGGAGCGGTATCATCAGCAGCAGCGGCAGCGGCAGGTGTCCTACTGCCTGCGCTGCTGTCCCCCCCGGCGCTGCAAGGGCAGCCATACCAGGGCATGCAGTACACGGCGGCTGAGCTGCTGCTGGGTCGGGATGTGATGGTGGATGTGGAGGACCCGGGGACCTACCTGGGACATGGTGGGTGTGACAGGAGCAGCGGCAGGTTCAAGGAAGCTGCACAGCTGCAGCGGGTTAAGGGGGGGGGGCGTGCATGGTTATGTGCATGGGTAGAGGACTTGGGTTAGAAAGAGCGCCGTGTTTGGGTTATTGCCGGAGGTTCCCTGTGTGTTTGGTTACAACGGAGGCAGTGCTTTCCTGCCATGCCGTACCGTACCGTACATCTACCTCCGCTGCTGCCCTGCCCTGTGGTTGCGGATCCGACCTGCATGCGCCTGTTGGCTTGCATGTCCCAATGCGTATGTGTGTGCGTGCATGCTGGTACATGCAGGTACGTCGGGGGTGGTGCGGCGGGGCGCGCTGCGGCAACCCGACGGCAGCTGGCGGCCGGTGGCGGTGAAGCTGCTTAACTCGCCGCCCAGCGACCAGGCAACGGACTCGTACAACCGCCACCTGAGGACGCTGGTGCAGGTGGGTGGGGCGGGGGCTGGAGGGGTTGGGTGGCGACCGATGACCGCGGCGACTCGCTCGTTGAGGGCAAGAAGTTACAACCACTTGGCAGCCACACCCTGCCCCTCTTGCCCCGCCCTGCCCTGCCCCTCATGCCCTGCCCTGCCCTGCCCCCCTGCCCCTCATGCCCTGCCCTGCCCTCCCCCCCCTGCCCCTCATGCCCTGCCCTGCCCTCCCCCCCCTGCCCCTCATGCCCTGCCCTGCCCTGCCCCTCTTGCCCCGCCCTGCCCTTCCCCCCCCTGCCCCTCATGCCCTGCCCTGCCCTGCCCCTCTTGCCCCGCCCTGCCCTTCCCCCCCCTGCAGGAAGTGACCATCCTGGGCTCCCTGCGCCACCCCAACATCGTGCAGCTGCTGGGCGGCTCGCTGCAGACGGGCGCCTCCTTCATTGTGGAGGAGCTGTGCGGCAAGACACTCAGCCATGCAATATACGATGGTGGGTGGGTTTGCAGTTGTTTGGCTGCTGCTGCTGGGTTACAGGGCATGCGACCGACTGGCCGGCCCATATGACGCGTTGCGCTGCTTTGTGCTTATGGCATCGCGCCGCTTGATCCGTTCCTTTAAGTTTTGCTGTTCGTGACGTGCTGGACCTCCTCCGTGCATGCGCATCACACCCCCACAACCTGCCTGCCCTCCCCGCCACGCAGTCTCCGCGCCCTACACCCTAGAACGCGTGCTGCAGTGGAGCTGCGACATTGCCCGCGGCCTGGCCTTCCTGCACCCCAACATCATGCACCGGGACCTCAAGCCCTCCAACGTGCTGCTGGACGAGGCGGGCACCGCCAAGATCTCGGATTTCGGACTTGCGCGGTTCAAGGCACACACCACGCTGCACACTCGGGATGCGGAAGTGGGCACGGTAAGAGCGGGAGGGCGGGGGCAGGTGCGAACATGCGGTTTGGCCTCGCAAAAGGGCCTTAAAGGTGCCCCTCTCAGCAGGTACAGGTACAGAGCTTTGCGAGGGGCCATCAGACAGCTGTTGTTGTGCGGATGCGTTGGTCGTGCCAGGCTGCTGGAGGCCTTGGAGCAGGGTTCCTTGCTGTCCTTCGCAATGCTGCTGCTGGGGGCTGCTGCTGACCTGCTGCTGACCTGCCTCCCCCTCCTTTTCACCCTCCCTTGCCGCGCTTTGTTGCTGCCACGGGAACATCCGTACCTTCCACTGCACCTCCGTGCCGTGCCGGCGGGTGTGCCGCACCGACCATCCATTGCTGCTGCGGCGCCGACAGACCTGCTACATGGCTCCCGAGGTGAGACCCCAACAGCCGTATCGCTTCTGTCACGCTGCATCGGTGGGGCTGCATGAATGGGAGGGTTCAGGAAAGCACCAGCCCCGCTCATTCCCTTCCGTTGCGACAGCTTCTTTCCCCCTACACAGCACGCCCGCAGCCCCATCCGCCCCCTCACTCACCACCTCACACTCCACTTTACCCCACCTCTGGCGTTGTTCAACCTTCCTACCCCCCCCCGCGCTCCTCACCTCACCGCCCCACTTCTGCCAGTGTTTCGTTTCCGCGGACGTCAAGGTGACCGCCGCCTGCGACGTCTACTCCCTGGCCGTGCTCCTCAACGAGATGGTCACCCGCTGCCGCCCCTGGAGCGGCGTGCGCACCGCGGTGGTGGGCTTCAAGGTGGCGGTGGTGGGGGAGCGGCCGGAGATGCCGCCCCCCGACAGCGCGCTGTGCCCGCCGGGGCTGCGGCAGCTAATCCAGGACTGCTGGGCGCAGCAGCCCGAGGAGCGGCCCAGCAGTGGGGAGGTGCTGAGGAGGCTGCAGGCGCTGTTGGAGGAGGGAGGGGAGGGGAGGGAAGGAGGGAGGGCGGAGGGGGAGCGGGACGGGGTGGTGGGGGAGTTGGCGGGGGCGGGAGCGGCAGTGGGGATAGCAGGGACGGAGACAGGGGGGGCAGCAGCAGCCCAGGAGCAAGGAGTAGGGATGGAGGAGGAGATGAGCGCGGAGGTTGTGGCTCGGGGAGAAGCGGAACAGGCCTCGGTGGGGGAGGCGCCAGAGCGCCTGGAAGCTAGTGCGGGCGAGGAGCACGAAGAGGCTAGGACGGCGGGGATAGGGGAATAATTTGCGCACTTCCCGGATGCCTCCCGACGTCCTGAGCGTTTGACATCGGGCCGGGTCCTGGAACTGACTTGAACACATGCCTTGACAGCTCATGTGGCCGGGAGCAGGCCCCATGCCACATGGTGTGCTGACAGGTACCTGTATGCGGACTGCTGGCCGATTGCCTGGCTACTCCGCCTCCGCTGCTGCTGCTGGTGTGTTTGGGGCATGTCTTGGGCAGTTGGGGGCGTGTGACCGCGACCGAAGGTAGGGTTGGAACGTCTGAGAGGCAGCGGAGAGGTTCGATCGTGCATGGCGACCCGCATGCATGCGTGTCCCGCATGTGCTGCTGATCCCCCGCTGAGCCGGAGTTCATGTTCTTGCAGCATAATGGGCACATGTCATGGGGCTAGTAGGATGTCGTGGTGATTACGACGATACTGGATGTCTTACTGGATGGCGGCGGGCGTCAGGCTTCTTCTGCGCCAAGTGCCTTGCTTTGTGCGGTGAGTGGTGGCTGTCGTGGCGACGCGGGTGGCTTGATGCTTGGGAGGTGCTGTAGGCCACAGCGGGGGTCCACCACCCGGCCTAAGATAGCCGTGTGGTCTATGGTAGTCCCTGTGTTTGTGTAGGTGGAAAAGTACAGTATTGCACTAACATAATGGGAAAAGCTGGCAGGTGGTCAAGTAACAGTAGATTGTGGTGCCACGTTGTCGTGTCATGAAAGCCATGAAGGCCATGTCGCGTTGCCGGAGAACCTGCTGTATGTCAGTGACCGCACGCATCTTGACGGTTGGCGCTGCATTGGGCTTTGTCGCGTGCTAACATCGGGAGGGCTCCATCCCACGGAAGCGAAACGTTTTGTCAGGAATTGCGATCCAGAGGGTGATACGGTATGTAAGAGTATTGGCTGCGCCGCTGTTGCATGGTTGGGTTGAGTGCTTGGAGGCATAAAAGGGGATTGTTGGCCCCTGGGGCTGTTGTTACGGGACTGTTAAGAGGGGGGTGTTTAGTGTGGCGTAATTACCGTGTGTATGGGGCTCGACCGCATCCTGAAGCGCTGAGTCTGTTGTGTTGAGCACCTCCCTTGGTGCCTGTGCAAGTGTAGCATTGCGACTCTGGGTGTTCGTTGCCATTCTGTGAAGGTTAGTAAACGGTTTGGGGGCATTGCAGCGTGCTCGGGGCATCTACAGCCTCCATGGGAGGGGCGGGGCTCTAGGGGACGCTTTGGGGTTTTGTGCACGTGTATGTAAACACCTGAGTGATAGGGGAGTGATGAAATGGCGTAGCGCGGACAGAAGAATAAATAGTGACCGATTGTATTGGGGGTCTTGCTGGGGATTCTTCGTGGGTCTTTCTCCCAACCACTTACTGGCGCGTCTTCATCATGTTTGTTGTTTTGCACAAAGATGTAATAATGTGCCATAACGGTTGTGTAGAACAGTCGTACGTCATGTGTTTTCAACCTTTCAGGACAGGGACAGAAGGCACAATTGACAAAGTGATATTACAATCAGGCCATTGCGGAAAGTGATTCATTCCGTATGCTTATTTAGTGTTAGAATGTTACATCGAACATCCAGTCGAATAATTCAGCAATCGTTGGAAGCGGTTGCGGGTTAGTTGTCCAACTGTTCGTCAACTTATGTCCCTTTATATGACCCAGGTGGCATTGCACACCTAGGAAAGCACCATTCTATTCATTAAAACACACAGGAAATGCATGGGAACAGAAAGACAAGATAACCAGTAAACATACACGTCTCCCCAAATGACCCCAGTGACCCATGGTTCCGTGCGTACCAGCCGTACACCCACAACCCGCAGCAGCGATCTCACCATTCCGCTGCTAGCTCTCCACGAAGCTGCTTTGGCATAGCTCCATACATTCACGCATGCTTGGAAACCTATCAATGCTACTACTCCTTGCACACACGCGCACACATGCATGCGGCACCTACTCCGCATCCCGCGACTCGGCAGTACCTTCACGCGCTCCGTTCGCTGCTGCCATCCGCACCCGGTATTACGGCAACATTGACACCGAAAAAGAGGCTGGAGTTTCGCGTTTCTCATGTCCTGCGGCGTCCACATGCTGCTGCTGCTGCTGGCAGCCCGCCCCTCGCACCATGCAGCAGCGACCACTGTCGGGAGGAAACACATTTCCCAGCAGTTCCGAGATGCTTAGCTAATGGCTACTAGGCATCAAATCCCACCTCACCTACAACCACCACCATCACCACACCGGCTGTTAGGACAGGTCCTGATGTAGTAACCTCGAGCCCACACATAGTCACTCACCGTGCGTGCTATGGTTGCGCAAAGGTACGATCGGGCAACACCTCAAAATAAACAGCAATCCGCAACCACACAAGCATGTCACCCTGCGTGCCCCGCACACTCACCTACGACCCCAAACGAGACTCAAACACGACGCCAACACACCAACCAGCATCCGAAACCCACCATCTCACAGCACTTTGTGCCAAATTAAAAATGCAGCGACGCATGGCACGGCGCGTCGCTGGCTCATCTATCCAAAGCCGCACTGCGCCGCCCGCCCACCATGCACGTACGACAGCTCATTAAGGCCACAGATCACGACCCAGGGCACATGCGCGGGCACACCATTACGGCCCGTGTTCCCTTTTAGGAACCTATGCAACGGCACCCCATCACGGCCAGCTGGTGGTGTTGTAGGGAGCTGACATGGACTTGAGTGGGTTGGCCGAGGGGCAGAGCGACGTGAAGCTGGGGTTTTGCGCGTTGAAGGTGGGGTCGTTGCAAACGGAGCTGCCCGCGTATACGCGCTCTTGACCCAGCGTGACCAGTGTGTTGCCCTGGAGGAGTGCTAGGGACTTGTGGAGGTAGGTAACGGCGTCGCCTGGGAGGCGAGAGGGGAGAGGCAGGGCGGGATGGGGCAGAGTGAGGAGGCGTATAGGTAAGCATGGCGCAGGAGAGGTGGCAGGAAAGAACGAGCACGACGGTGCGTGGGGAGTATGGATCAATGTGCGCGTCAAGCATGCGGGGCTGCAAGCGTGTGCATGTGAGCTATGTGAAGAGGCTTTAGGCTGGAGGGTTGGTTCTTGGATAGGCTGCTTACCGACGACGATGGTGCCGGTCTTGGAGCTGTCCAGCAGGGTCTTGCCCTTGGCAACGTGAGCGGCGATCGACTTATTGGCGCTCTGCCACTGAGTCGAGTTGAGCCGCGTCAAGTTGCCGGAGAACTGCGGAACACACGTACGGCACACGTACGTCGCGAGCGATACAAACACGCAGCGGGAATGGCACAAGGTCGTGAGATAGGCTATGGTATTACTTCTTGATTGAGCAGGGGAAGCAGGGGACCTTTCCATTGCCACAGAATTGCACTAACAGAATGCGCAGTTGTCCCAGGTTACTCACGCAAATGAGGACCGGGCATACCTAAACCCCATATACGGCTAAAGCGCTAAACCCCACAAAGTAATGTTTTTTTATGCGACTCACCGCGGCTGCTCGGTAGTTGAAGAGAGTGGTGTTGAGGTCCTTCGCAATGGACTGACCGGTGCCGATCACGCCGTTCTCGTACGACACGATAACCTTGTTGGCCGAGATGCATGGAGCGAAGACGCCCTGCAGGTTGGGGAACAATTGGAGGGAACAATGGTCGGAACACGGCTCAAAACAAAGTAGCCAACGTACGATACCGCAGTGGCGGCAACACGGCGGTGTTATTAACGACAGTGGCGCCCACGTGCGCTGCTTCTTTCTTGAAGCTTGTCGCCTGGTTTGCCATCCTCGTTCAACACATTGGGTAGCCTTCTAATTCAACTTCCTTTCCTCTCTCCCGCTCACCTGAGCAAACAGAGCCGCCGTACACAGTCCCACCACAAGCAACGTAGCCACCCAGGAAGCGAACTGGCGCAACAGGAACCACCAGTTGACGCCCATCTTGCCCTCCAACATGCCCAGCCCCACGATGCCCCCGGTGATGCACTGGGAGGAGGAGGTGGGCAGACCGTACTGCGCAGCAATCATGATCACGAGAGCGGTGGCCAGCTCGGCTGCGAACCCTCGAGTGGGCGAGAGCTTGGCCATGCGCGTTCCCATGGCGCGAGTTACGTTGTAGCCGTACGTAGACAGCCCAATCACGAGGCCCAGAGCGGACACCACGATGCACCAGGTAGGCGCGGAGACCTTGCTGGGCAGGCTGCCGGTCTTGACGGCGGACCAAATGGTAGCCAGCGGACCCGCCATGTAGCCTACCTCACCGGCTCCGTGCGCAAAGATAACGCAAATGGCGGAAAACACCTGTGGATGGGCGGGATTGTCGAGTTTTATGCGTCATAACAAATTAGCGTAATGAGGTTAAGCGCTAGAGGGCGACACTGCACCTTCCATGCACACTTCCCTGCGTTTTTAACGCACACCTACCATTGCAAACTTGCCCCGCCTTGCCCCCTCCACCCCAGCCAGCGGACATACCTGTAGGTAGGAGAAGGCGAACTCGGCTTTGGGGTCGAACACCTCCGCATTCTCATGGATGGCTGCAACGATGGGGTCCTCCTCCACCACCTGGTGAATGTCCACCTCCAGACCTGCAGCGTGACAAAGGTAGGCACGGGTGATGAGGGAAAGCATTGGGGGAAGCCATGTAAAATAATGCTCAGTTGCGGACCTGGTGACCCGTGGGTCACTACCCCTACACACGCACACCGCCCTCCGTCCCTTCTGCCCCCCACAAACTCACCGTGCATGGCAGCCTTGCGAATGGAGGTAAGCGCCCGCATCACCCGGTTGCCTTGCTCGGGGTCCTCAACGTCGGGCTCAGACTGGGCGGCCTTGACCCGGGCCTTGGCGGCCTCCTCCTCCTTCACCTGCATGTTGTCACTGTGTGGGGGAAGCGGGCGGAGAACAAAACATCACAATCACGACGAGCAGCAGCGGCGGCACATGGACAGCAGGTATGGGCGGTTATGGGCGGTTCAGGTAGGAGCCCACATGCACTTCCAGAGCCCCCAACCATCCGCTGCTTGTCCCTCCATCAACACACGACATCAGCAGCCTCTACTGCGCACTACAGCAGCAACATCAGCAACAGCACCAATGGCCAGCCCGATTTTCAGTCTCCTGACACACTTACTCCTGACAAACTGTCTCCTGACACACTTACTCCTGACAAACTGTCTCCTGACACACTTACTCCTGACAAACTGTCTCCTGACACACTTACTCCTGACACACACACTTACTCCTGCGTAAACTTCTTGTCAGCGCGAAACTTGAGCACCGGCAGCACCACCGCCGCACACAGGAAGCCCAGTCCCGCCGCACAGCATGCAGCCACCCAGGCTGCCTTGGCGTCCGACCAGTTGTCGTTATCCTTCTGGAAGGTCTTCTTAGCGCCCTTGGTGAAAACAAAGTAGATGCTGTGGAAGGGAGCAGTAGGAGGAGGAGGGGTGTTGCATGTAGCGGGTTTGTTTTACCGTGTTGCGTGCACGAACAAATGCTCAGCGGTTGATACAAGTGGAGGCGTGGCTGGTCGATACAACGTTAGAAAGGCGAGTAGTGCATTCCGACAGGTCAGGATGTGACAGGTCAGGATGGTACAGCTGTTCCCCCTTCACGTGTGTTACCGACAGCACCGTCGTTCGCTGATGTACTGATGTTGTAGTTTCGACACCCCGAAATCCCTTTTCCAATGAATACTGCACCCTTTCCTGTACCCATTTTCTCTAACCCCCGACCCCTCCTGCCGCCACTCTTACTTGATCCACGACGTAAGCACCACCATCACAGGAAGCACCCAGAACGACAGCTTGTAGCTGTTCTCCCGCCGCAGCACAAGCGTGCGAACCAGAAGGAACAGAATTGCGGACGCAGCCGCCGTCAGCACCGGCGACACGAACCAGGACAGGACGATTGGTACGACACCCTTGTACGGCGGGAAGCTAGCGGGGTCCGGGGTAGCCCAGTTGACGGCGTCAGCACCGCCGTACACGAGAGCGAATCCAATGATAGCGCCGACTGTGCGTTGTGTCGTATGAGGGCACGTACGACAGGGTTTGAAAGGGAGAGGAGCGGAAGATTAGTGGAAAGATCAGGTTTGGGTAAAGCCACGTCCCTTATGCATGGTACGATGCACAATGATCAGGTGTCGGCTGTAAGGCTGGGAGGTGCTACAGAGGTGCCAACCAAACCCTTCAGCTGGATAAGAAGTGCCCGTGGAAAACAACAATGAACAACGAAAGCTGGACTTACTGATGCTGTGGGTTGCGGAGACGTTGAGTTCCCAGTAGGATGCGAGCGCTTGCCAGACGAAGCCGACCGCGAGGGCGCATACCATGCCGTACGCTGAGGACACGGAAGTGGGAAGGGGTCGATGGTATGAGGCGGCAAGGCCATAGCCCATAGGGGTTGTGTGGTTTGTAAGGGTTGCAAGACCAGGCAGCGGTTGCCGATGTCCTGTCAGGCTAGTTGGACAGTAGCTCGAACTGCTTACCATAGATCTCAGGTTCTCTTGTGAAGAAGCTGATTTGAGCGATACCACCGGCAATGGTGCTGGTGCTGACGCGCCCCAAGACCATGGCGCCCGTAAACTCAAAAACAACAGCAATCTGTAAGGAGGTGGCGGTAGGGCTGGTGAGCTGGAAAGTCCCTATGCAAGGAGGCGGGCTACGGTTGCCTCACTAGTCACTGCTCACCAGAACGGCTTGCTTGAGGGTGAGGGTCTTTGCTCCCACACTTGTTCCGAACGCATTTGCAACATCGTTTGACCCTGCAGGGTTCATAGAAGCAAAGCCGGCGTTCAGCGCCTCGCGTTGAAGTTCAGACAGGACAGTCGGCTACGCAAAGAATAAATGGACGCATGCAGTGGTTGTCGAACTCACCTGTTCCCCAGCCAAACGCGAAGGCGGCAAAGGCGCCAACCACTACTAGCCAGAGATACTGCAGAAAAAACAGTAATGGTGACTGAGTGAGCTGAAGGTCGGGCTTGTTTGTCCATTGTGCGTGCGTGCATACGCAAGCCAGGAAGAAACATAAGCAGGCGCGTACCTCTGGCTGCGCGAACTCTGTCATGGCTTAAACAGAATATTCAGAAGAGGTCACACTGCTAGTGGGCGCTTGGAGTGCTACCCTAATAATAATAAACGGCTCGCGGTAACTATGCCCGACGATGCACGCTGCTTTAAAGTGAAAGGTCACAGTGCTACACAAAGACAAATGTACCATGCACGGAAGAATCCTGGTAAGCCATGCAAGCATCGGAATCTCGTTGATGGCATCACGAAGGAATCAACGGCAAGAAACCACCCATTGCCACACCCCAGCCGGAATCCTCTATAAACTTGGCATATTTCATATTATTCTTGACATTTTCATGCTTAGGCATTAGCTATTAGGAACAACCACCTTTACTAGTTAAAAGTGCGACGGAATGCACACTTCAAAACAACAGGATCACTGTACTAAGCGCTGCTAAAAATTCAGGCGATATAGAGGAACTGAAACTATATCTAGATTCCCGGCAGCTAAAACATGTTTCAGTGCTCGAACGCCCCGACGTAGTCATGCATATTCCACGAGTGAGTGACGACACCGCCTGCCATAGAAGTCACTGCCTGATAATCGTGTAGATGACAGCGTCTGTATAGGTTTGCAGTCCTTAGGGTAATGGTTAGGTCATGCGCTACTGCCAACCATACTGGTCATCAGCCATGCATTATGCCATTGCGCCGCCGGGCCTGGATTGCCACGCACCGTTTTTGCCACGGTTCGGAGGATAAGCATTCTCTGTTTACGGGCTCGACACTATTATGCACGGAGAATGGATTCTAGGCTTTTTCCGCGGCTTCTCCTGGATGCATGGCCAGCCCTAACTTTCTTAAGAGCATAGACGAGCAGTAACCCAGCGTCGGTAGCGGCCTTCGAGTGCCTAGCCGCCGCCCCAGCAGCTTACAAGCGAGCCAGCCGCGCGCATGTTGGACAGCGTTCGCCCGATCCTTGCATGGTTGCGCCCCGGCGGGACCACGTGATAATAATACTGGCGGCATCAAGCATCATACCCCTCGGTCACAGTATTAGGGACATAATAGCAGGCATTGGTTTCATAGTTGCCCCACCGAGTGCTATAACGCTAAGGAGCTTCCCGAGCGTAGGAAAGGTGGCTGTCAGGCCTGCTGCTGCACAACATGCATGGCGACACTCCGCCCGCCCCTGAGCAAGCATACCACTCAGGGAGTTGCATCAGCCCCGTGTCCTGCACAGGTAACCGGCTTGCAAGAGCACCTGGGCCTCATACCTGGATGTGATGTTGGCAATATGGTGTACAACAGTAATTAACGGCCCAACCTGGCAAGAGATGCACTTCCCCTTGCCATGATGCCGTGCCGTCTGACGTGCAAAATGGGGAGGAGTACCCAGCGTCCCCCTGCTCCCCATGACACTGAGTATTGTCGTTGGCCAATAACAGCTGTTGGCTTGGGGTTAAACATCTCCCGGAAGGACGTGTGCCCACGCAGGCGGAAGTAAGGCTAAGCAAGCCTGATGGCTAGCCCACGGCCGGTGCCGCTAACAGCCACAGTTGTGATGCGGAAATGCAAGCTCTTCGACTTGAAGGTGTGTTGCTGGTGCTGACCGTTCAGGCCTTCCGTTCATCTGCTGCCCGTACGAACGACCGGCCGTTTTCGGCCGACATCCCAACCGACTTTTTTGAGTGAATTCTTTTACAATGTTTGAGTACGTGACAATACAGACAGGAATAGACGGTGAGAAGTCCGTTGTACTCGTTGACATACCTATCGCTCGTGGCGGCATTGAAAGGAAGGAGCCTCTAGTATCATGAAGAAACATCTGGTTTAAAATATTGTTATGGCTTTGCTCCCAAGCTTTGAAGCTAATCTCGGGCGCCTTACGCGCTCTTTAAGATGTCTTAGCAGCATTCCTTGTCAAGGGCTTGGTAGTGGCATCGGCTACCAGGAAGAACATATTAGCCATTCGGGGCGGGAGTCTGTGGATTTCTGTGGCAGCTCTACAAGCCATGGGTACGGCGGATGGCAACTCAGGGACGCTAAAGCCGCACACCGGCGCTCTACACCCGCTGGACCCTTTCAGCCGATCATCCTTAGAGGTCTCGCAACATCAGCTGGACGGGTGTTGGATACGGCTGCAAAAGGCGTTGGAGATGAGTCCAGCGGATCGGCATCAAGCTCACGTGGCAGCTCCTCAGCCAGCCAGGCCAAGCTAGCTCTGGACGCTGCCCAAGACTTACCTTCCCTCCTACGACTGGTGGAGGCTGGGGCAAAGGAATGGCCGCTGAGCCTGTTGGTGGCTGCGTTTGGCAAAGCCGTCAGTGGCGCTGACACTCCGCAGACCAGCACCCACCTCCTCCACCGCACCCTACAAGCTCTGTCCGCAGCCTACCTCCCGCACCTCAACCTCATCTCCGAACCCCAACACGCCATCATCCCGCTTCACACCTGCGCCCGGGCGGGCTACTGGGACGGCCCTCTGCCCGCCCAGCTGCTAGCCCGACTAGCCCGACACAACGCGGAGCTCCTGCGCCTCGCAGGAACCGGTCGGGAACATGTCCAGCTCTGGAGCTCACTCTCAGCGGCTCCGGAGCACTTGCTGCGGTCGGCTGCGGCTGCGGACGTGGCGGTGTTGCTGCCTTCCAGCGCCGCCTGCTTGATTCGGATGAGTGCCAGTGCCTCCACCGCTCAGAAGTACGGGTTGAGTGAGGAGGACTGTGCGGAGTTGCTTGCAGCATGTGCTCGGTTGGCTGCGGTGGATGCAGCGGGGTTGCTTGGGTTGGGGCGCGACAGAGGAGGAGCAGGAGGAGGAGGAGCAGGAGGACGGGTACCGGTCACAGAGGAGCTTTGTCACCGGCTGACGGCATGCTTAGCGGGAGCGGAGGAGCAGCACCAACAGCGAGATCGGGGTGCGGATGAGGCGGAGGAGGCGGGGGAGGCGTGGGTGCAGCGAAGCGGGCTGTCGAAGGAGGAGGCGGAGGCGGCTGGACGGCGGGCAGCGCGGGCGTGGGTGGCGTTGGGGGAGCTGTCGGAGCGCTGCGGGCACGCCCCAGAGCAGCGGAGCTTGCATGCGTTGGCGAAGCGGGTTGCGCGGTTGGTACGTGCTAGTGGGAGCAGCTGGGCGGGGATGCAACGTGCTTCTACTCTTCGCTCGCAGCAACAGCAACAGCAGTCGGAGTGGAGGTGGGATGAGCTGAGGGACGATGCCGAGGCGGGGGAGGAGCACAACCGAGGCAGCGGGGATGTCGGGGGAGGAGGGCAGCCCCTCGACCCGCAGCTGCTGGTGGACCTACTGGATGCATGCGTCAAGTTGGGGTTCAGCGAGCCGGCGCTTCTGAAGCCCCTGGCTGCGGGATTGGCGCAGGCTAGGGAGCCGCTGGACGGAAGCACGCTGGTGCGCGTGCTTCGCTCCCTGACAGAGCTGGGATGCCGGGGCCCCGCACTTCGGTCCCTCTTCGCCGAGGTGCACCTACGGTTACAGGAGGCCAAGGAAGACATCCCAGCCCCAGACCCCAACCCCGATGGTGATGTCCACCCACCAACAGAACAGCAGCAGCGGTGGCAGCAGCGGCAGCAGCGGCAGCAGCGGTGGCAGCAGCGGCAGCAGCTCAAGCAGCAGCAGGGCCCCTTCCCGCTGCCAGCTCTCGTGCACCTCCTTTGCGCGCTGGAGCGCTGGTTGCCGCTGCTGCCGGAGGGAGCGTCCGAGACTGCAGAGGCGGTGGCGCTGGTGGACCTGGCTGCTCAGGAGTGTCGGCGGCGGAGTGACTACCTGCGGACCCTGACGGCGGAGCAGCTCAGCCATGCGGCGTGGGCGCTGTCCAAGATGCGGTACGACAGGCAGGGGTGGTACGAGGCGGCTGCGAGTGCGGCTGCGAGGCCAAGGTTCCGAGCTGCGGGTTTGGCTCAGGATTGGTCGCGGCTGTGGTATGCGTTGGCCGTGGTGCGACACTGGCCTGATGTGGATTTGTTGGGGGCGATGGTGAGGGACCTCCCACCACGCTGGAAGCAGCAGCATCAGCAGCTGCTGGAACAGCAACGCTCCTCTAGAGCATATAGAGCATCAGCATCGGGCTCCTCTGCCTCATCAACATCAGCAGCGGAAACAGCAGCAGCAACAACAGCAGCAGCAGCAGCAGTGACGCCCTTATCTGCCATACGCACCGGCGCTAGCGTCCGTGACTGCGCTAGCCTGCTGTGGTCGCTTGCCGTGCTGGGACTGTACGAGAAGCGGTTGGTGGACGTGCTGTCGGAGCGGCTGGGCGTGTTGCTGCCGTTGGGCCGAACGGAGGCGCGGCTGATGGTCAAGGTTCGCGACCTGGCGATGTGTCTGTGGGCGCTGGCGGTGATGGGTCCGGAGGCGATATCGCGGCACTGCGGACTGGTGGAGGAGCTGCTGCGGGAGGTGGTGCGCAGGTGGGAAGCCAGCTGGGGTGGTGGCGATGGTGATGGTGATGGAGTTGGGGTAGGGGAAGGGGAAAGGGAGAGGGAAGAGCAGTTGTGTGGGAGCAGGGGGCACAGCAAACACACCGTGACTGCTTGTGTGCGAGGTATGCATGCTGGTGCATAGTGTACGGTATGTGCTTGCTGTTCTGTGTGAACAATCTGAACATGCAATACACCGTCGGAAGCGACACACTGCAAAGTTGCTACATGGAAGACGGGGCAACCATCGGAGGTAGTGTCCTGCGGATCCTAACGTGAGCACATGCTCCTGATGTGCATGTCCCTCGCTCTGCACGTCCGCGCGTACACTCCCCTCCCTCAGTTCACCTAATCCCCCTCCCTCCCTCTCTCTCCCGCCGCTGCAGGTGGGACAGCAACGCCGCCTTCACGCCCAAGGACATGCAGATGCTGTGGCAGGCCCAACAGGAACTGGAATTCCTCGCGGTCCACAAGCCGCACGCACCCGTCGCGGCGTTGCGGGGGATCCTGGTGGCTGGGGCTGCTGAGGGAAGTGGTGCTGGTGGTGCTGGTGCTGGTGCTGGTGATGAGGGTAAAGGTAGCGGCGGCGGTGGTGAGGGTGGAGGTGATGCGGGGGTTCCGGGAACGTTGTTATACGCGATGCGGCATGCAACGGAGTCTGTACGGCAAAAGTCCGCGCAGCGGATGCAGTTGAACAAGACACTGCAGGCGCTGCAGCATCAGCAGCAAAAGCAGCTCCAGGAGTTCAGGGCAGCCCGCAACAACAACCGGAGGCCTAGCTCCTGGCCGGCTCCTGCAGCAAACGGCATCATTCGCTCCATTAAGCCCAACCACCCGTTGGAGGGACTGCACATTCGCGTAGACGCCCTGGTAGAGTTCCAGGGCGGCAGGCGGGTAGCGGTTGAGGCGGTGGAGGCGGCGGCATACCTGTCCAACTGGCCGCACTCGCAACGCAAGTCGGGGTCGGCAAAGCTGCGACACCGGCAATTGAGACGCGTGTTCGCAAAGTGCGATATCGTGGAGGTTCCCAGCTGGGAGTGGTGGGCGGTGATGGGTGGGCCGGAGGAGCGACAGCGGTATCTGGCTGAGAAATTGGGACTGGACACTGGAGTGAGCGGCGGTTGGTGTGGAGGGGATTAGGCAAACTGAGTCGCAACATAGGAAGACCCGGACCCGGAAGACATAGGATGCGGTAGGATGCACAGCCGGTCGGGTAAGGGTAGGTGGTAACAGGTGGTCTTGGCATTCGTTTACCGGTATCTGCGGTAGGAGGGCGGCTGTGAGTGCCACGTGCTGCTGCTCAGGAGGCTGAGGGGTCTTGGGGGCTGGTTGGATGGCTGGGTGCTGCAATCCTACTGCGAACTGTGGTTGCTATCCAGTGATAGCATCATGAATGCGAGTGGGACTGTTTAATGCGTTTCATGTGCGGACTCTGCATGTGTGGGTTGGGAGTAGGCGGGAGATGGGCAGTGCGTGCGCAACGCCTTTTGCATGCGCTTTGGATAAGTATGATATGTGATAAGATGGTGGGTCCGTACCGGTCTGCGATCTCCTTGCCTGGGCCCACGTGGCCAGAATCTGCCGTACAGTATCTCGGCTGGACGGTGCCGTATGTCGTATGCATGCGTGCGCGGCTTCTTGCCATGCTGCTGACATGTCACACGAAGGCGTTGTGTTTGAAGGCTCTGAAGAAGAACACCGATGTCTCTGCTGTTACAGTGGAATTAAAAGGTAGAAATGATGAGTCGCTCCGCAGATCACGCGGGTCACTAGGTTCCTATGAACTCGCACATATACACACACTCGCGGCCAGCTTTCCTAACGCACACTCACGTTCTGCCGGTTCTCTGAGCACATGTTACATTTTTCCTCTCAACACCCACACTCCCACGTTGTCCCATGTTGCCATCAGCCTAAGCACGCCTTCTGCGCCTCATCCACGGTGGTCGCTCCGCCGAGGAAGGTGTTGATCTCCGCCTTGTATCCGGGGTCACTCAGACACTCGTAGTACTGGGCGAGAGGGAGCAACTGCGGGCAAGAGAGGGACAGGGGAGGGGAGAGGTGAGGAGGAAGAAAGGAGCTAACGAGCCTTGAGATACGGTTCCATCATGGGTTGAGTGGACGGATTGATGTAGGACCGGCAGGCAGGGAGCAAGGTAAGAGGGGTTGTCATATACGCCAGCAGTTGTTGAGATACCGTACATTGCGGTGTTTTACATCAGCAGCAGGCCTGACACGAGATACGTGGTTGTGACTAGCATGCAATCTGCACGCATGTGGCGCATGTGCTGCGTGTGCGCTTACCTTGCGGCAGCAATCTGCTGTGATGGGCTTCTTAGTTGCGCATGCCTTGAAGGCTTGCACGTCCGGGTTGTTTGGAAGCGTGGTCCTGCCCTGCTCGCACTTAGGGCTGGTCGCGGCTGAGGAGAGGAACGACGACATGCGGAAAAGGAGCCGGGTTCAGGATATGAGAGGTGCATGCATGCGTTCTCCTCCTCTAGTGTGTGATTTTGCGGTGACGACCCATGGGTCGTTGAGCGCAGAGCGCAGTGGGGATGTCACACACGTAATGGGGATTCAGTGTGTCAGGGGCTGTGCTGTGGCTATATGTGAACCTACCGGAGGCAGTCTGGGCTGCAAGTGCCAACACCAGCAGCAGGGCGAAAGCGCCGGCGACAACCGTTCGGCGGTGGGCCATGGTTGGGCGTGTGTTGTTGTGTATCCTGGCCGCGAGCACTGCTGAGAGGAGTTGTACGGGCGGGCCAATACCACACCTTGCAAGGTCTTGCAAGGACTTATAACACTAATGTGGCAAATGCTGAGTGGAATGGCCATTAAATGCGGTGGTCAATGGTGTTGTTACCGTTATCGTAACGGCAACATAGGCGAAGGTCCCATCAACATTGGACCCGGACCCAAGCATCGATCGAATAGCACTTTGGACAGCATTAATCAAGAGTAAACGAGCACCTGGGGTCACTGATTATACGATCCAGCAGAAGGAAAAGCGTTACGGCTCCTACTCGTGCGCGAACGGACGGCTTGGGAAAGAAGAAGGAAGAAGACGAACCGACAAACGGCTGCCAAATTGCAAGCATAACTCGTCTTTAGCCCGTTAGGAGGAATAGCGTCATTGTACGGCAGAGCTCATAAACATTTGACACGGCCCGAGCGCCTGGCAATGAAAATGCGGGTGCATTAGGTACGGAACGTGATCACCTGTGGTAAGCACAAAATCGCTGCGTCTAAGGACGCTGGAAGACGGAGGGACACACTAGCTCGCGTTAGTGTACGTCAGAGCTCGTAAACTTTTAACACGGCCAAGGCGCCTGGCATGGAATGTGCGGGTGCAATAGGCACGGAAGCTGATCATCGATGTTAAGGGCGAAACCGCAACGCGGAAGGATGCAGGAAGACGGAGAGACCGTACTAACTGCAGATTGGACGGAGGAATACGGAGGGACCGCAATTGTGTGAGACGCCGCTTTGTTGTGAACGGGCCGCAGCGACAAAAAACGCTTTAAGAAAACGGCGGTGAAGAACATAATTTAATTGTGCGTAGGAAAAGAGGTGATGCGACAAGTGCAAAGCGGTTAACCAACCAACAGTAGCCTCAGGCCCCTGACCTCTTTCCCAACATCTGCTACCCAGATCCCTAAACGGTACCTGTTCATTTCTTAGCAATCCATACTGGGCTAAAGCAAGAGAAGGGAGTGCTAGGTGTGCGGCACATAGTAACGGTCGATGTATGAACTGTAGCCGGCGGCTGTCCCTTTTTACTTTTTGTGTTTGTGAAACTCTACCGCCTCCCATCCCCTTTGCTTTGCCCTTACTGTGGTTTCCTATGCGTTGGTATGTTATTTATTCCCCATCCGCTACCCACCTGCCCTCTCGCAAACCCTTTCCCATAACAAGGGGGTTCAGCTTTATCAACGCTGGAAAAGGGCGGAGCCCCTCCTCATCAGTACAGGAACGTATTGTTACCACTGGAATGAATGCAATGCGGAAAAACATAGCCCACCAACGAATATTGAGCTAGAAGTATGATGAATGGCGATCATGTGACCAGACCAGGAGGCGCCTCATCATCTTTAGTCATCCACCTCCCTCCCCCCCGCCCAATCCGCGCTGTGCGTGAGAGGCCGTGCAGGCCAGCCCCTCCCCTAACCGTAAGTGGCAGCACAATTACGTGACGTGTTGTCGGGTGTACTAGAAGCACGGGGAGGGTGAAAAATAAGGCCCCTTCCCTAACCACAGCCATCATGACGAACCCAATGGTGAAGCCCCCTCATACAGCTATCGTCACCATCGACTGCCATATACTAGGTGCCCTTACATTTGCTTTACACCAAACCACGATTTGCTGCAAGAGCCCGTGTCGTTGCTGTACAATACAGCTGAACAATACACCATAACTTGCCTAAGAAAAGGATAACGGGCCAAGGGCTAAGTTCGTGACGTTGCTTACAGGGCCCGTTCAGGGACAGGGTAGCCTAGTAATAATGAATAACAGGCAGTGCCTGGAGCGTTATTTGCATTGACCTAGCACCCGTTGACCTAGCACCCGTTGACCTAGCACCCGTTGACCTAGCACCCGTTGACCTAGCACCCGGCGACCTAGCCCCCGCCGACCTAGCCCCCGCCGACCTAGCCCCCGCCGACCTAGCACCCGCCGACCTAGCACCCGCCGACCTAGCACCCGCCGACCTAGCACCCACCGACCTAGCACCCGCCGACCTGCTGGCACCCACCGACCTGGCACCCGCCGACCTAGCAGCCACCGACCTAGCAGCCACCGACCTAGCACCCGCCGACCTGGCACTCGCCGACTTGGCACCCGCCGACCTAGCACCCGCCGACCTGGCACCCGCCGACCTAGCACCCGCCGACCTGGCACCCGCCGACCTAGCACCCGCCGACCTAGCACCCACCGACCTAGCACCCGCCGACCTGCTGGCACCCACCGACCTGGCACACGCCGACCTAGCAGCCACCGACCTAGCAGCCACCGACCTAGCACCCGCCGACCTAGCACCCGCCGACCTAGCACCCGCCGACCTGGCACCCACCGACCTAGCAGCCACCGACCTAGCACCCACCGACCCAGCACCCGCCGGCCTGGCACCCGCCGACCTAGCACCCGCCGACCTGGCACCCGCCGACCTGGCACCCACCGACCTAGCCCCCACCGACCAAGCCCCCGCCGACCTAGCACCCACCGACCTAGCACCCACCGACCCAGCACCCGCCGGCCTGGCACCCGCCGACCTGGCACCCACCGACCTAGCACCCGCCGACCTAGCACCCGCCGACCTAGCACCCGCCGACCTAGCACCCGCCGACCTGGCACCCGCCGACCTGGCACCCACCGACCTAGCACCCACCGACCTAGCACCCGCCGACCTAGCACCTGCCGACCTAGCACCCACCGACCTAGCACCCGCCGACTTGGCACCCGCCGACCTAGCACCTGCCGACCTGGCACCCGCCGACCTAGCACCCGCCGACCTGGCACCCGCCGACCTAGCACCCGCCGACCTAGCACCCACCGACCTAGCACCCGCCGACCTGCTGGCACCCACCGACCTGGCACCCGCCGACCTAGCAGCCACCGACCTAGCAGCCACCGACCTAGCACCCGCCGACCTGGCACTCGCCGACTTGGCACCCGCCGACCTAGCACCCGCCGACCTGGCACCCGCCGACCTAGCACCCGCCGACCTGGCACCCGCCGACCTAGCACCCGCCGACCTAGCACCCACCGACCTAGCACCCGCCGACCTGCTGGCACCCACCGACCTGGCACACGCCGACCTAGCAGCCACCGACCTAGCAGCCACCGACCTAGCACCCGCCGACCTAGCACCCGCCGACCTAGCACCCGCCGACCTGGCACCCGCCGACCTAGCACCCGCCGACCTGGCACCCGCCGACCTAGCACCCGCCGACCTAGCACCCACCGACCTAGCACCCGCCGACCTGCTGGCACCCACCGACCTGGCACCCGCCGACCTAGCAGCCACCGACCTAGCAGCCACCGACCTAGCACCCGCCGACCTAGCACCCGCCGACCTAGCACCCGCCGACCTGGCACCCACCGACCTAGCACCCGCCGACCTGCTGGCACCCACCGACCTGGCACCTGCCGACCTAGCAGCCACCGACCTAGCACCCGCCGACCTAGCACCCGCCGACCTAGCACCCGCCGACCTAGCACCCGCCGACCTAGCACCCGCCGACCAAGCACCCGCCGACCTGCGTGCACCCACCGACCTGGTACCCGCCGACCTAGCACCCGCCGACCTGGCACCCGCCGACCTGGCACCCGCCGACCTAGCACCCGCCGACCTAGCACCTACCGACCTAGCACCCGCCGACCTGCTGGCACCCACCGACCTGGCACCTGCCGACCTAGCAGCCACCGACCTAGCAGCCACCGACCTAGCACCCGCCGACCTAGCACCCGCCGACCTAGCACCCGCCGACCTAGCACCCGCCGAGCTAGCAACCGCCGACCTGGCACCCGCCAACCTAGCACCCGCCGACCTGGCACCCACCGACCTGGCAACCACCGACCTAGCACCCACCGACCTAGCACCCGCCGACCTAGCACCCGCCGACCTGGCACCCACCGACCTGGCACCCGCCGACCTAGCACCCGCCGACCTGGCACCCGCCGACCTGGC